CATCAGTCTTCTTGTCCACATCAGTCACAGTTCTGTCAAGTGAGGCGAAACTATCGAGGCTTTGACTCATTTGTTTACTCTTGAATCAGCTCGTATTTCTCCTCGCGTGCTTTAATAGTCTGATGACACTGCAGAGCGTCTTATTTGTCTCAATCAATAAAACAAGTTTGTTGTTTCCAGTTGTCATACATATTTGCATTAATGTACATGTACTGCGCTTTGCTGGCGATTGTTGAGGTCCTTATCACTGGAGCCCCACACTATGAGACATGTCTCGGCTTGGCTCACTGTTCTGTGTGCACTAGTGAACATAAATACATGTCGCTATATCACTGATAATGCGATATGATACTTGATATTATGTAAAAATGTATACCAGTAACATAAATGCAACCCATTTTTGCAACATGTCATACTACATCACTAATGACACATATTTAGCCTGCCCCAGGAAGAGATTCACTATTGAGACACCATAAAAAGAGCAACGTGGTGCCCCCGATTGAATAGATAACATCATTACGGCTATATGTCAGACCTGAAACAGCTTCATATAAAGTTCCATGAATCTGATCACATTTCTGCTCTTGTATCCTCTGCAGCCAACACAGACGACTTTAGAAGTAAGCGGACTGGGAACTTCGGTCGCTGTCTGCATCACAGCTGTGGGCTTTTTGGTTTGCGGCCTTGTGTGTGGATGGCTGATGAAATCTCACTGCTCCACGTACTTGTCACGTCTTCTCCGACGCTTTAGACCCAGAGATGAACACCATGATGTAAATGGGGCGTCGGAGCCTCTGAGCCATCCTCCTCCTCTGCAGATGAATGGCCACCATCCATCAAATACGTCCCAGGCAGATGTCTGAAGACTTTTAGGATCAATACCTGGCAACTTTTAACTTATTAATGTGCTTCAGCTTATTTATGTGTGCAGCTTATAATTATGATTATGCATTTTACACCGATCAAAGCTTCCATTTACTGTCTTAATTTCCTTTTCTCTTATTTTTGTAATATCTTGCTTCAGCTGTGTGTGATTAAATAAACAGTGTGCTTACACCACTGCCCGAGTGAGGTGACACACGTTCACCTTCAGTGCCTTCAGGCCTCACAGGCCTGAGTCCGTTCACGGTGAAGTCCGGACATTTTCACGGACACTTCGTGGTCGCCTGCTCCATCACGGAGGCCTCGGCTTAGATTAAGAGTTCCTCCTTCCAGACGGAAACACGTGGTTTGACAAATGAAAATAAATTATGTAAAGCCAGGCTCACCTTCTTTCTATTAGAAGCTGTTTTATAAACGTCAAACGCATGATTCTGACATTCAGCAATTCACATGAATACATTTTAGACCACAGTGCTTCTTGGATTCATTTTAATATTTGTAGACGTATATTTACATTTATCTTCGTTAAATAAGAATCGGAAATGCGTCCACTCACCTCTCAGAATCTACTAATGAAACAAACCCTTTCGCTCTCCACACAAACATTTTCTAATGCGGATACAAAGAAGACAAATTGTTCGGCAAGTGTTACGTCAGCATGTATAAATTTATTACTATTTAACACAAATCACTGCATATTTTTTCTCTTTGTATTTTCCGAGAAAATTCGGAGTAAATGACTTAATGATTGCTCACATCCACCAAAGTGTTTAAGGTCAAATTAATGATTCATTGGTTGAAAACTGACAAAACACCGTATGACTCTTACATGTGGTATTGTCAACACATAGAAAAGACTACATTGATAACATTATGTCCTATTTCATCACTGACTTGATCGGAAAGTCAGCATGATAATAGTATGTAGAGCTATTTAAATCTGTCTTTTTTCTCTCTTTGGAAAATAAAAAAAGTTTTCTGTCTGTCATTCACTAAACGAATTTCCTTAAAGAATGAAATGAATGCTACACATGTGCGATATACACATTAAAAACCTAAAGCCTACACTTCCACTTTGAATGTACCAAAAACGACTTAAAACAGGTTTAAAACGATCAGATGAGCGGCCACATTGGATTTAGTGGCCTAAAGGGCCTCAGGTTGAGCCAAACGATTTGCACAGGCCTGTGTGCAGCGCTGTAGTATTAGGCTCGGCCTCCTGGCTCTGATTATTAATGATGGCCAATTATTGCTCAAACACGAGAGTCTAGACCCAATTTTTATGTCAATAAATCAACAGTAAATCGTTTTTTTCGATGGTAAAAACGACAGGTTTATGCGGAATACGTGATTTTTCATAACTGTTGCAGCTCTCTGTTGTATACTAATAAGCTGTTGATCAAAATATAATTTCGGTTATTAAATGGAGAGCGATCTTTACGCGTTCGGACGTTTTTATCTCACGCCGAATGATACTGCCCCCTTCACTTCAGAATCACGGTGTTATTAATTTTTGACTTTTTGATCAAAATTTTTTTTTTAAATTCATTTAGACATTTAGAAATCGCGCAAAGTTCAAATTCTGTTAAACAACAATCAGCAGCTTCTTTTTCCTTAAGTACTTAGAATAGTTTATTTGACACTGCAGTTCCTTCACAGCCCACCAGGGGTCTCGTGAATATAATGTCATAGAACAGTGTAGAACACGAGAACACAACATCAGAATAGAATTGTATGTATGTTACAATATAGCGCGGTATATCATAGCGTGATACTGTAACAGTGGTAGTGTATGTATCCATGGATGATGCCTGACTCTCAGGCGGAGCTGATTTCATAGTTTCACTGAACGAACTGCTAAGACAGTTCAACATTATTATGTCATCAACTGTAATTTTACCTAATCTGAAATGTTAGCAGCTGTAAGACAGCGAAAAAAGGAAGATGTTTGGACAGCATGTTCTAGGGCAGGAGTGTCAAACCTAAGGCCGGAGGGCCACAATCGGCCCAGCAGAGACTCTAATCTGGCCCACTGGACAACCTTGGAATATGTGATGTTGGACATGAGATTCTGAATTGATAGTGTATTTTCTCTTTTACAGTTTGCATAAAAGAATCCCCCACTGCCATTCATACTACACTAAAACAATTAAGTAATAGATAAACAATAACACTTAAAACATAGAAAATGTAATTTTTTTGTGGGGGATTTTGTTTTTGTTATATATTCTGATTAAAATAAAAAGACTTTTTTTGTGAAATAACGTGAGTTACTTTCTTGAAATTTAATCAGTACCATAACCTTTTGTTTTTATACTAGTGAGCACGTCTTCTTTCATCACTGCGGCAGTATTTCTACATCATGCAGTAAAACTGCATGAGTCATACTGTTCACACTGACACAAAGGGGAGTTTTTCTGGTTCTGCACCCTTGAGATCAAAGTGGGCCGTACGAGGGCTGTTACCATGAGTTTGACAATTAAGGTGATATGCCATGGCTGATTTTTCTCATCAGATGACTGAACATGATGAAGACTTACATGCAAAGGCCTGGTGAAGCTTATTAAAACTGAATATCCTCTTAGGTGTGACACTGCAAGGCAAAGCATTCAAACAGCAAAGTGTAAATGTAGAGTAACCTTATGTAGGTTTATCTTAAGCTTTGCCTTGTTTTGGTTTAGCAAGTCTGAATGTTTTTGGGCAGTGCATGGTTCACTGAAACCGTTATGTGGACTAAACATGACTTCAGTTAATATGGATGTCATATTTGCAAGGCCACCTGGGTTGGCTGGAAGACTGTTTCCTTAGCCTGGCAGGGCGAAGGACACTGTCTCAGCTGAACTATGGACACGCACACACATACACTTACACTGATAAGCACTCACTCATCCCCCTCCCCTTCCGACGCCTTCGATGCTTGTTGCCTCCTGGGAACACGGGCGGGTCTGGGCCTGTGCTGGAGAGTCGGCGCAGTGTGTTGCCTGGGATTACTCCTCATCCCCTACCCACCCCTGTTGCTGGTCACGTGCTCTATAATGTTGTACTGTGGACATTTATGTGCTTTCTGTGCAGAGGAGTTTTTTTGTTTCCTGTTCTCATGCTGTCCTCCTATAGCCCAGCATGAGTAGAGGTCTCTTTTGTTCCTCTTGTACTTTCCTATTGCAGTGTACATTTCAGTGGTTTTTCTGTAATGCAACCGTTCTCTGACTTGTATCCCCATGTGATGTCTGTGTTGTGTGTGTAAGGTCGGGTTCATTCCACTGCAGGGCAACCTGCCACTGCATATGGTGAATAAAATTTGAACTTGCAGGGCTGTGTGCTATATTCACACTCAAACTAAAACCAGAATGTCAAAACAAAACCACTTCTGTTTAAATCATTTTTACCAAACATGTAGCCTACACTTTACCACATTATGTAACGGAAGGAAGCGGTGACACATTTATGTACTGACATTAGTTGAAGTCAAACACATCAGTCTGGTTTTAACAGTCTTAGCCTTAGTTTGACAGGATATTCTCTTTTCTAACAGGGCACATCCAGGAGAAGGTCTAAATGTCACTAAAAAAACAGGACAATAAACAGCCATGGGTGAGAGTGTGACATTGTCCATCTTTCTTCCTCAGTGAAACTGTTATTGTTCTGTGTGTCTCAAAGCTCTTCAACAACAGTGGGTACGGGGTAACTGAACATTTGCAAATGAGTGTGAGCAAAAAGGTGGGTACAAATGACTGTACACTCAATGTGTACAATCACTGAATGAAAGTACGGCTTATACCTGAAAAAGCTTCCAGTAAGGCTTGATTTGCGGTCTTCCAACAATTTACGGTACAAACAAGAATCTCAAGTGTTTGATTTTCTTTGTAACATCTCTCTTACCGTCACCCAGATCACTAAAATGCAGAATCATCAAAGATCAGTAACAGCTGAAGGTTTTCCCCCATTGGTGAGAGCAGGTTCTGTATGTATATTCATTTACAGCGAGTACTAATCCTGCCTGTTTCTACAGATTTGCAGTCTTTCCTGTTTTCTTTGCGCTTTGTAAAAAGCTCAGGTTAGCTGCTGTGTGCCAATAAAGTTTTAAGTTGGTAACAAAGTGACGCTCTAACCTGATGCAGATTACAGTCATGATTTTATTCATTTTGCACATTAAATGACTTCAAATGTTTGATGGAATAAACACTGAAAACCTTTAACAAAATCACATTAAGATAAAATGAATATACAACAAAGTAAGAAGCATTAATCTGCTGCCATAATCCCAGTTAAACCTGAAGCTTCATCTAAACTCAGCCCAGGTGTTTCTCTGCAGTCGGCTCTGTTATCCTGACAAAACTGTTTCCCGTCAGAAAGGCTGCAGGTATTTGTGTGAAATAAAGACAGCGAGGGAAAAATTCACACCAAAGACATTTGAATAAATAACAAGTGAGAGAAAACAATGAAAAGATACAAAACATCAGCAATATACAGCTTGTAACAGAGCAAACAGGGATGACATGACAAGTGTGAGGAAGAGGAAATGAGTCTATCAATGAGTCGAGGTGTTAGGCCACACATGAAGTCTCTGAGTCACCGCCCTCTCTCGTTAATCACCTAAAAATATTTATAATATTTTTTAAATTGCGTCGCTTTACTAACAGTATCATATGATGTTGTTAAGACCACAATAAAAAAGGATCAAATGTGGGCAACAAAGAAACAAAACTCTGGGTTTTTGTTCTATACACAAAGCTGAACGCAGACCTTCATTCATTTATTTTACTGCCTCTTCCGCACCCTTCTTCCCAGCCTTTACTCAGTGCACCAGCTCCAGCTGGCTGGTGGAGAAAGGCAGGACCCCACTGACGTAGTAGGCGATGCCCAGGGAGAGGAGGGCGATGACCACCAGCAACAGCAGGACCCTCCAAAAGCCCAGGTCCTCCACAAACTCCTGCCAGGTGGTCCTGAAGCTGGACAGGACGCCCTCGGTGCTCTGCAGGTTCGGGTTCAGTAAGGAGTGGCTCTCCATCGCACTGAGACACACACACACACAGAAGTTTGTTATCGCTCACATGTAACTCTGTTCTTGTTCCTTTTTTCTGTGGTAAAGCTAAGAAAACCCACAATCAGTGTAGGAGCTAAAATGAAGATAGACCCTTCCAGAATCTCATTTTAAGTCTAATTTAAAGCAGGCACAGAACAGTTCTCTGGGTCAGTATTATTGCTCTTAAAGCTGTGTGAAGTCTTGCTTGAAACTCTACCTGCTTTGCAGGACAGAGCCAATCAGGACAGATCATGCTTTGGCTGCATGATCTGTCCCGATTGGCTCTCCACCCTCTCTCCTTCCAGCTCTGCTCACCTCTCACTGTCAGCCATCTGCATGGTCTCCAGTTTGGAGTGGGCTCCTCTGTTGAAGCCTTTCACCTCCTGCTCCTCCAGCCCCTCCAGCAGACGAATAGCATCCTTGTTGACTCCGCGTCTCTTCGCCAGCACCAGAGGAGTCGATCCGTTGTGGTTACTGCAGTAAGAACAAAAGAAATCTATTATTTCTTTTATCCAACACACGAGTTTTGTATTAACTTGAACCAGGAAACCTCCATGATGTGAATATGCTGTTCCACAACTGTGCATACATAACTACAGTCACACATGTAGCCTGCAGATAAAAACAATATGATTAGTCTGCACAGTAGAATTAAAAGCTAATGTTTTAGTTAAGTTCAGCTGAAAACTGAAAGCACTGAATCCTTTTTAGTAATCCCAGCAAACAATGAGTCAGGTGGCCTTGGTACTGGCTTTGTCGTGGGTATGGGTGATTTACGTAACATCAACTCATAGCAGTAAGTGATGACCTCATTTAGTGAATTAAAACAATTTCACAACTCCCAAATATTCCCTGAAAAACCAGAACGTATCTAAGTGTTTGTGTCATATTTCAGCAGCTTCATCAGGGGCATCTTTCAGACAAGTCTAACAGTCTAAAAAGAGGGTAATCAGTACAGCAACAGCAGGAGGTCATCTCTTGTGTTTGCCATGGGGTGACTGAGATCTGTTAGCTTATCCGTATCCATTCATCTTGTAAGCATTTGAACACACACAGCAAAATGTGTACTATGTCTGACACTTTCAGACACTGGTTTAGATTTACATGCATGAAGAGTTCAGAGACTTCCTGTTGTGTTCATGCTCACGTGATCATTTTTGTGTCTGCTGGGGAGCGATATCACAGTACCAGCAAAAACACAAAGTCTGGTTTATTGCACTCTTCAGTTACAGGATTATTTATCAGAGCTTTAAAGTCTCCCAGAGAAACATCAGATATTCAGCTTTAGTTTGTTCACAACTTACTTGATAACCCAAAAGTTGGTAAAGGTGAAATGCTACTCATGGTGCCCAAGATGATAGTAAATGGTTGTGAAGGTTGAAGACGATCCATACAAAAGAAAAATGTGCGTGATCTAAAGGTTTTAACAATTTTCACATCTGGTGCAACCTTGACCCGATTTTCCCTCAAAATGAAATCAGCTCGAACTCTTATTGGTGTTTACCATCACACACGATTTGAACACAATAGTTTGAAAACTGAAAACAAACAGAACCAAATACTCCTCTCGTCTCCTCTGAGGGGAGCAACAGTGCACTCCCCCCGAGGGGACAGGAAGTCATTCGATTTGCTCTGCTGAGAGGTGAAAGGTGAATTCCACCAGTGGGATTTTAGCAGCAGTTACATAGAAAAGACTTATCTTTTAGTTATATTTCTTTCATTCATGAAATTTACGATACTTTGATTCAAATTCCCCAACTAACTTTATATATTTAAGATGCTCAATAAGCAGTTACAAAGAAAAAACAACCCAAATAACATTAAATGAATACTCTGACAGAATTAACACCAACCTCCGACTGAAGATTCAGAGTACTGCTGTCTGCTCAATTTTAAATTTGTTTCTTTTTGCTTCTTTTCTGTTGTCAGTTCTTTGTGGATTCAGATCATCTCTAGAGCAGCTTTGCTCATTGCAGTTTAATTTGAGTTTAGTGCTTTTTTCATTCATTCAGAAATCTCTAAAGGGCAGATTTAAGTTGTTTAGAGAGGGTATTACAACCCAAACAGTCTCAGTACACCGCATGGCTTTTAGCTTCTACCATATCAACATGAATCATGCATGACTACATGATTCTGAATAGTTGATATACATGAAATTAAAAGTGGAGTTAAAATGAGAGAACATTAAGTTGCTCAGGGTGGAAACAGCTCACTGTCATCACCTGAACTCTGAATTCTTACCAGATGTCGATCTTCAGCCCGTTGGACACCAGGAACTGTATCGTATCCACGTGGCCGCACAGGTGCAGCGCCGTATTCCCCTGATAATCTGTCGCCAGCAGATCGGCCCCAAACTTGTGCAAGAGGCGGCATATTTCCACATTCCCTCTGGCGGCGGCTAGGTGGAGGCCGGTGCGGCCCCGGTTGTCACGGATGTTGGGGTCGCATCCGGTCTCTAGCAGCCTCTTGGCGAAGGGTAGGTCTCCATCGATGCACGACTGCAGCAGAGGCACGCTGGTCTGCGACGAGTCGTTGATGAAGACATAGGACATGTTCGAGTGGGTGTCCGAAAATTCCAGCGTACCTGAGACGGTGAACAAAGAGGCAAAATGTGGAAATGTTTTCTAAATGCTGAACTAAGATGCATGCTGAGCTCCCTCTGGAAGCACTCCCACCCCACTCCACTCCACCTACCTGCATCTGTCTCCCCTGTTAGAAAGAAGGGTGGTGTAAATTGAGCAGCAAGTGTTGAAAGAGGCTCAGTTCTTAAACTTGTTTCCTCACTTTCTCTGATTTCTCTGCTTTTTTAAAGAAAAGAAGTCAAGTTTCAGACTGGAAATACTGCTCCCTCTCCTCGGATTTCCATCACAATCCAAATCATCTTTTTTCTTCTTGCCTCATCTGAGAGTTAAAGTCACTGCACCTCATCTTTCTCTCGTCTAACTGGCATGACAGTTATTTAAAGTGAACCTGATTACTCGGCTGGCATTTTGAAATTAAGCGTCAGGGATCAATTAGGTTGAGTCCATCTCCCAACTCTTAAGGCACATTTATCAAACACATTTAAACTCCCTGTTTTCTGTGTTTGCATCTTTCACCACACTTTTTGATGAATCCTCCTCTCCTGCTTTCTCTTCACCATCTCTGAAACCTGCACTCGAGACTTGCTGAGTGATTTCTCATTTCTCCTTTCTTACATTAGCTCTTTCCCGTCTCTCACTTTCAGACAGCGAGCACTGCCACCTAGTGACAAAGAATCACATAGCTCATAAGTTTTTTCTTTTTTTTCTTTAATTATGAAAGGTTTTATTCTGCATAGTTTTTACTGGAAGTTTTTAAAAAAAAAAGAAAACAGCAACAACAGTGTCGTCCAAAATTACAAATTTGTGTATTTTCCTCTTTTTAAAAAAAAAAAATTATTCAAATAAATTAAGATATATTGAAGTCAAGGAGTATAACACCAGCAGTATTTATGGGGTACTTATTTAAATTTCAAGTCAAAGTCTGTGTCTAACAACTATTTACACTCACTGGCCACTTCGTTAGGTACACCTTGCTGCGAGTGCCAGATTAGTTATTTTGAATGTGGTTTTTGTAATGAATTTCTGTGTTTTTTCATTTGTACAGTCAGTCAGTAAAATCACTCTGACTTGGCGCAGTAGGAGTGCAGATTAAAGCCTTTCTCATGGGGTCTACCAGGCACTGTGTTTTTTCATTTGTACAGTCAGTCAGTAAGATCACTCTGACTTGGCGCAGTAGGAGTGCAGATTAAAGCCTTTCTCATGGGGTCTACCAGGCACTGTGTGTTTTCTGGGGGGCTGGAAAAAGTAGCAGCAAGAAGTGGTGATTTTGGGACCTCAGGTCATACTAAGTCCACATGTAGTGAATCTCACGTTGGACCGATCAACACTGCTCCAGCACCGTAAGTACACTAGCTAGATGATCTAGTTGACTTGGCTTTGCATCGTTTCTGTTGTTGAACTTCTGACTAGGGCTGGGCTGTATCATACTGTTCACGGTAATACCGGTGTAATTTTGGGCAACGATAAGAAAATGAAATATCGCCATAGAATATGGGTAAAATGCGCAGTGAGTTTGTTTACATACGCACATGGCGGCGACGCAGAATGAGAAGAGCGAAAGCGGATCGTTGAATGAAACAGATGAACCAGAATTGGTTTGTAAAAATGCAACTTCACTGGTGTGGAACTGGTTTAGCGTTCGGCCGTCAGATACACAACAAAGCACTATTTCTGGTAGAGCATGCTAGCGGGCCGTCGTTATTACCGTGTTGTTTGGAAAATACGGCACACTTAAACTCAATCCTTTGATTTTTCTGAAAATCGACAGTGCCCCTCATAATCCCGTGTGCCTTATGTATGAATCCTGGTTGTGTTTACTGACCTCGAAACGATTTTATGTACACGGCGCTCGAAAATCTGTCAAATGTTTTAGTGCGACTTTGCTAAGCTACGAACCCCCACAGCTTGATGGATTGTCGGAGCATTACGGCTATCGTAGGCAGGAGCCTCGCGGAGTGATACGTACTGTGCTTCAACATAATATTACAGTATTGTGTGTGTATAACCTTTTTTAAGTTTTGTAGATATTATACAGTGTTATGCTGAGGATATGTCGGCCATTTTCCACTGGAAATGCCTTTTGGTTAAACTGTCAGCAAGGAATTTGCATTTGCACTGTAAAATTTTTATATAACTTTAATGCACATAAAAAACAGCTGCTTGTTTAAGCGAAAATACATTGATGGGGTTTTTTGCACTAATAAAGTTGTGGAGTTGTAAAGTATTTTGTCTAGTGTCAATTATATCGTCAGTTATATCGTTATCGCAAACTTTTAAATGTATATCGTGATAAATATTTTTGGCCATATCGCCCTGCTCTACTTCTGACTTCTTTGCTTGTTCACCTTCATGGATTAACTGAAAACCCGAAGTTGAGTATTATTCGTCCAATTAACTAGACTGGAATGGACAAGTTATTCCCAAAACATGGAGTGGACTACCTTCTTTTTTTTCCTTTTTGAATGAGCAGAGTCGACTAATTCTTGACAGGCAGACAAAAGAGCATCATCCTTTGAAGCAGATGGGCTACAGCAGCAGAAGACCAGATTGGATGCAACTCCTGAGGGTACAACTCACACTGGCTCACCAACTGAACATTTTTAACACCTTGCTGACTCTATGTTAAGTAGAGTTAAAGTAGTTCTGATGGCAGCCAGTGTAAAAATCGGTGAGAAATCAAACAGTGGATCTTGTTGCTGTTCACTTCCAACTTTTTAATTTACCTTTTATACTTTTAAGCATTACAGCTACAGACACATGCTTTAACCAGGTATTAACAGATCAAATCATGGTCCCCACCACTGTGGGTGTTTGCTTTTCTTTTTTAAATCCAACCTCCTGAATGAGTCACACTGGCTCTACTCTGCCTGTATGCTGACCTCACACACACTATTTCAACTTCACACACACCTATGGTCACTTATTGTTACTCAGCACTGTTTATTTATACCTGATGTTTGCTGTGACTGCACAGCTGTGACTTTATCACTCTGCCATCAAAGCATAAATTCCTTTGTGCTCTTATGCAAGATTATCTCCACTTGGCCTCTGTCAACAGTAATAACAGTTGATTCAAACATCGACTTTTAGCCCAGGTCAAACACAATTGTTTGGACAACGGGCTCGACCTCAGTCAGAGCAGTAAGTTAAAGAATAGAAAAATACAAATGCTGCTTAGAAAAGGCACAGATTTAACAAGATGCTGGAACCATTCTGGTCCACATTTGCATGATCAGCACCCCTAACCCCATCACACTGTATGGGGTGGCTGTTGCTCAGGCGGTAGACTAGATCATCTACTGACTGGAAGGTTGGCCAGTCTGCGTGTATCCTTGGGCAAGATACCAAGCTGTTCTTCGATGCATCCATTTGAGTATGAATGTGTATGAATGTTAGATAGAAAGCATTTCAAAGCATAGAGCAAGTGCTTGCATGAATGAGGCGTGTTGTATAATGGCTTTGAGTGTCAGTCCAGATTTGTCAGCTGCACATTCATAATGAGAATCTGTCGCTCGACCACATCCCAAAGATGCTTGTTGAACTGGGATATGTTGACTGTGGAGGTCACCAACCATTTGAAGGTTGAACCCTTAATAACGAGACAAGTCAGTATGCAATAAACCTCCTCAGATCTTAAAAAAAGACAACTGGTGTAACCGTGGTAAATCTTGCGTGTATCTCTAGGCCTCTGTGGTTCAAGAAATATGAGTTTTAGTAAAGAAACCTGATACACAAAACATCTTGACGTTTAACCTTCTGAGTATTTGGACCCATCCGTGCACACCGCTCGTTACCACAAGTATCAATGACGCCTGTATCTAAGTATACGTTGTAATTAACAGGATACAACGAGCAGAATACAAAAAGCTCTCGAGAAATCAGCTTTCATGAATGTGTAGTCATTTTCTCTGGCTGTCGACTAACTATTTCACCTGGGAGGACAAATCCAACAGCGCTGCATCCTCATCATCACACCTTAATCTTCATCCTGTACGAGAACTCTTTGCATGCAGTGACTTCTGCACACAACCACTAAATAAAACGTTAGGAGCTAGCGTTAGCCTGAGAGCTAACGTTGGGCACATAGCTGAAACGGCTCACAAATGTGCGATTCTCCGACCGTACAAGCACACAGGGCAACAGACTGCACATTCACACTCTCTGACGGCCCTCGGTTATTACACTCACCTGTTAATGGGACCCAAATAAGAAGAAAAAAGTCTCCTCGCTTTTTTGCGAGCTAATGCTGCTAACAATGTTGTTGTTGTGCTACGAGTTCCGCTTCTTCTTCTTCTTTTGAAAAGGTGAACTACCGCCACCTACTGGACTGGAGCGAAGGTTCTATCTATCTATCTATCTATCTATCTATCTATCTATCTATCTATCTATCTATCTATCTATCTATCTATCTATCTATCTATCTATCTATCTATCTATCTATCTGTGTTTTATTATTCCAATTTTAAATAGAAACATATAAAAATTATTAATGTGAATAAAAACTAAGAGGCAGAAACAGAATTTGTGATCTATCTCTTCTGCAATTTTCATTTCTGATATTGTTTTGGCCTTTTCCTTTTTGTAATAGTTGTTCTTAATTATTTTTATTTAATCACTTTCGCGCATCTTACATCATCATGGTCACATGGCATGGTAACTTTGGCCTTTTAATAAATTCTTTGAACTGTTTTCTTTCCAGGGTGTAGTGATTGATTAAAGCACACATCTGTAATGACTAAAAAAAAAGGTATTCAGATGCACAAGTTTAATTTTAATTAGGATTTTCTCTAATCCACACATGGTCAAAAGTAGATTCCTCCACTAAGCTTTGGGTTAATGTCCTTTGCTAAGATGCTTTTGGTAAACAACATAAACAACCGCATACTTCCAGCTGGATTGGCCACTGTTCTTGGCAGCATGGCAGAGTTAATTAAAGGTTGTTGGTTTTCTGAGATGGACCATGGAGCCATTGGAAAGGCCTATCCCTTCTGTAAATGTCAGCCTGCTTTATCTATTCTAAAAACAGTTTTGATGTGTGTTTGGAGTCGTTGTCCTATCAGAACACCCAAATGTGCTCATGTTTCAACCGTCTGGCTGTATCTTCTATTTCTCTATTACATCCACTTTGTGAAATGAACCAGTACCACTGGCAGCAACATTTGGTTTTACAGATTTTATATTTAAATTCACTTCACTTCCTCACATTGAGCTAAAAACAAAAAAACATGCATTTGTTAAGTAGTTTTGAGACTTTATTTCAAAGTGTGTGAGCACAGAAACACACGTTACAGGAACAGACATGTTACGTTGCCACTTTTGATTTGTTATGGATCCTCTTTGAGGAAAACTGCATTTCTTTTCTGTCACTCAGGGATCTTAAAGCATGTTTCTCCATTTGGCTCTGAACGAGCGGTGAAGTCCAAACTGGCAATAAAGTGTGCTGTTAGCATCCTAAATCATCAGCGGTGAATATATCTCCCATATAAAAACACAGGCATGTTTTCCTTTCCATAAAATTTAATGTACACATCATTACCTTCCCATTCCCTCACTTCTCAGTAAATAAAACCAGGGGATAGTGTCACGACTCAATAATTACAAATCTAGATTACAAAAAAAACAATACAGACACAAATGTACTATGTGGCACAGCGTTAAAGTCAGGGCTACCAGCAGAGAGAGACGTGCTAGAGGTCGTAGTGGTTACAAGTCATGCTGTAGCTTCCACTGTCCAAGCACAGATGAACCTGTTTGACTCAGAGGAAAACCAAATTTAATGCAAAAACAGATACAATTTCAAATTTTTTGTGTGTTTTTTGTATTTGTTTTTGCAAAATCTATATTTAAAGGCACAGAATTGTCCTTTTGCCACCTTCTTACCTGTCCGAGGACACAAAAACAAAAGAAAATAACCGAGTAACAACATCATAGACCTTTGCGCTAACATGATTTGCTGAAAAATACAGTAAGCACTATGTACAGCAATAATTCATCTATCAGAGAGCGTGTGTTTTGTGTCTTTTTGAAAAATGCAAGCGAATGGCAGCCTTAAAAAGTGTGATATAATCAAAAGAAATACTTGTTTGGTCGCAGCATAGAGAAAACCTGTGAGAGTGGAGGTGGAGATATGTATGCCCCTTTGATGTTCTGAACCATCTGTGTCCACATCAGTGCAATAACAACAGCTCTCTATTGTCATTTCAGCTGTTGCACAGAAATCTGACTTGACCTTTAAAGTCATACTAACGGTAACGTAGCAGCAACCTGAGAGTCCCACTGTGAAATGTACACAGGCTTACGTGAAGCTTACGCTGGGACTTTGACATGTTTAGGAATACTTTAGATTGTTTCTAAGTTCCTTCTGTTCCCCAAAACAGATGATGCTTCTCACCTTCTATATGAAAACCAGCACTTAAAGAAATGAAACTTGCTTTGTTTATGTTTTTTTGTTGGAGTCCAATAAAAAAAATACTTCTAGTCTTTTTTTGTTTATGCAAAAAATAATTTGCTAATGAGTTATAGTTTTCCACAGATTTTTTAAATCTTTCCATGAAGCTAAAACTCCTTTAATTCACACGTCCGATTGTAAGGCACCAAAAAATAATCCAAATATCACAAAAACTTAAAAACAAAGGATAGCTTCAACGCCATTTTTACCTCAAGCAAGTCACATGTCTTGGCAAGTTGATTTTCAAACCAATAATGAAGTGGCCGACATCAAATATACTGCAGGTATTGATGCAACACATGAAAAAAATCCCCAGTGTGTTTACAGTGGGCACCTTCGTGATGCTAAACTGCCGTAGAATAAAAAGTTTATGAAGAAAACAGGTTTCATCTTCCCAAAGATGGGATTTCAATGAAGCTTTATATCTGCTTTGCTCAGATCAGCCCAATAAGATAATGCAAACTCGCTTTAAAACCTTAAAATCAACCAGCAATCTGTAATTTTACTCTCATCTCACATTAAGCTCTTATGTACCCGCTTCAAACGTGATCAGCCCATTGAAAAGCATTTGTAGGCTTGTCTGTCCCAGAGATATGACAGTCAGACGTCAGAGTTGGTGTAGAGACTTTCTGCCTGCTGTCAGTATCTATGGGAGCGACAAGAACCAATAACGACCAACTTCCTGAGCTGATAACCTTTAAATTGGGTGCTTAACGTGTGTGCGGGGCAGTTGTTTGCTAAATGGGGGTGGGGGCACTCTCCGAGGTAGCCGAGAATGATTCTCGCTGACATCTGTCACAAGAAAGCTGACACGTAATAAACACATACATAAACAATAGCACCATTATCAGTGATAATCTCGAGAAGATCGCTCACACTGGGACTCTTCTCTTTCCTCCTCCTACCTCCAGCTTCTTCTTCTTTTTTTAAAAGCCGTTCATTCCTACAGGGGATTAAAAAACTCTCAAAATGGGGCCGATGTTGCTCGACTCGATTCTGAAACCATCACAGCACAGGAGAAAGGTCCATTCAGTCAGTCACGTGTTCTTTTTTAAATCCATCTCATCCTCCATCATAAATTCTTGAAATGTTAGTGAATCCCCTCCTGATGTTTCCCCGCCTCACTCCTCCATCTTTCACCTTTGCCTACTACAAGATCTTGCTGCACACTTGGCAGCGGCTGACTCTGGAGCGCTCCTGGCCTCCCTTCAGCGTCTCCTTGGCTGGCGAGAAGGTAAACTCATTTTCTGGATCCACGGTTGTCAGCCAGAAGCTGTATTTATTGGCAAAGTAGTGGCAGGTGCCCCTGGCGCCGTTGCACTCGATGAACGGAGTCGCCCGGAAGTCCTCCAGACAGGAACCAGGAGACACCAAGGACTGACCGCCGCCCTCTGCACCAGCTGCTGTGTGCTGTGTCAGAAATGAAAGGACATTTTTTTTAAATATGACATCTCTGAAGACAATTTGGCAGTATGCAGAACCATGGGGAGAAATAACCTCTTCATCTAATTGCTGGTCTAAATCTGTTTGGTAGAAGCTGCCATTAACTACGTACCATTAGGAAGGAGTATCCTATCCAGAGACTCCTCCAGCCGATAGGACAGTTGGGGATTGTCATATCCTGACTGTGGACCGCCACTGCCTGAGATGGAGCCTCACATACTGAACACCTGTGTTATTCATATAATCAGATGAAAGCTTCATTAATTGTATGCACATGTATATGACAGGCAGCTTGACTAAAGTAACACAGTGTACAATACCTGCTGATGTAAGGTCTTATCTCCTCCTTTTCCACGGGCATCATGGGTATGGATGCGGTCGTGGAGAGCCAGTAGGATTTATCATTGCGGCTAGCGTAGTAGCAAATCTCGCTGGGCGAGCAGTAGAGGAAGGGGATCGTGTTGAACCTGGGGAGACACGACCCCGGCTGACCTGAAGAGACAAAGGGAGGTTTTAAACCTTTAATTGTGCCACACAAAGACTGCTATAACTAGTATTTATGGTTCATAAGAGCCTGACAGTGTTTTCATACCGAGGTCTTGGTTGTGTGCCTTCTCCTGTCCCTCTACATACAGCAGACTGTAGCCCTCCCACAGTTTGGCCATGCCTTGAGGACACATGGGAACCTGGGTGCTCTGGCTGTGCTTAACCAGAGTGTAGCCGATGCTGTGGCTGCGGCCGACGCTGCCGGGAATGCCGCGAGGGCCAATTGTACCAGGAAACCCTGAAGAAGACGGGGGAAAGAATAAGAACATGCTAGAAGTGATAAGCTATTAAAAAGTCGAAGATAAACAAAAATCCTGACCTTGTGCTCCTGGGGATCCAGGGAAACCAGGAGGTCCGGGATCCCCAAGAGGTCCTTGAAAACCAGGAACTCCAGTCCTGCCCAGTCTACCCGATGGACCAGGGTTCCCCACAGTACCTGCAGCAGGAGAATATTTTACACTGCTTATCATTCATTTTTCATCTTCTCACTTTATTATTGTTTTTTCTCTCTCTGTACATTAAAACATGCCAGATTAGCTGCATATTATTTATATTGATGTTGGGGGAAAGTAGATTTTAAAACTCTATGTTAAAAACATTTGCCTTCTTTCACTTTGTTTGCATTTGAATGGAAGCAAACTAGCTTACCCTAAGCTGAACAAACAGCTCCTGTTTCCTGCAGGATATGAAGGATAACGCTCCTCCAATGCTATCTTATTGTGATGGAGGGATTTGTGTGTCGTAGAAGCTATGTTGTTGGTGGCAATTAACCTCTGGTATGTTCTCCCAAAGCAACTTATTCTGGGTGAAAAGGGTAAACTAAGTTTGAATCACGCAAACCATTTGGAACATTGTTCCTTGGCTGGGCTGGAGCTAAAAAGGCCCCATACTTGAGCCAAGCCTAGAGGAGAACATTGTCAGCAAGTGAATGGTGGTCAGGGTTTAGCCCATGAGGCCACCCTTCCTGTGGACACATTACTTGCAGGAGGAGTCTGATGCAGAGTGGATTAGGCAGTGGTTGAAAGTCTGTGGTTGGTGGTCTGATCCCGAGTTGCTAAAACTGACTTTGGGTACATGAAATGTCACTAGCCTGAGCTAGTGCTTAAGGCCAAGAGATACCGGCTTGATATAGTGGAACTTGCCTCAATGCACAGGTTGGGTTCATAAACAGTTTCATGCAGAGTTGTTGTACTTTGCTCCACTCTGCAGCTGCCCTTGGTGAGAGCTGTTGAGTATACTTGCAATCCCTTGGCTGGGTACATGCACATTGGGAGTTTTCTCTAAAGGACGACAGGGTCGGGGACCTGACTGTCGTTTGTGCTTATGTGTCAAATAATAGTTCAGAGTACACAGCCTTCTTGGGTTCCCTGAGTGGGGTGTGGAAAAATACCCCACTTTGTGACTTCATTGTCCTTCTGGGGGACAATGACAGTGTGACCTTGGGTATAGTGTGACTGGGAGAAACAGTCTGTCTGAACCCGAAAGGTGTTCTGTCATTGGACATCTGCTCTAACGACAGCTTACCCTTACTGAGCGCCATCTTCGAATATATGGGAGTCCATTAGTGGACCTGGCACTGGGACTTCCTGGGCCGAAGGTCAATGATCAACTTTGTAATTGCATAATCAGATATGTCAGATATGCCGCTGTATGTTCTGGAGACTCGGGTGAAGAGAGGAGTAGAGCTGTCGTTAGAACGAGCTGGACCAGGTGGCAGGTTGGAATTTTAGACAGGACAGGCACACACAAACAGACAGCGAGGGTGTGCTGGAAACATTCGGCAGAGCCCCGGGTCCCCTTCAAATCCCACCTGGGGCAGTTTATGGCAAAAGGAGACATGGAGGGATGAGAATTAACACCTCAAAGTTCAAGGCCATGGTCCTCAGTTGGAAAAGCGTAGAGTGCCTCTTTGGGGTAGGGGACAAGTAACTTCCCTCTTATATCTCTGGGTCTTGTTCACAAGTGAGGGGAGAGAGGAGCAGGTGGCTGACAGATGGATTCAGGCTGCATCTGCAGTGATGTGAATGCTGCATTGGTCCATCATGATAAAGAGAGAGCTGATTTACTGGTCAATCTACATTCCTACTCTTACTCATGAATAAGGCCTGGTCAAGAGCTCTGGGTAGTGACTGAAAGAATCAGATCGCAGATACGAGAGGTGGAAATGAGCTTTCTCTCAAGAGTTGTTGGGTTCAGCTTTAGAGACAGGATGAGGAGCTCAGCCACTTGGAAGACACTTGGAGAAGTCCCTTATTACTCCTTGACATTGAAAGAAGCCAGTTGAGGTAGTTCAGGCATCTGACTAAGGTCCGTCCCAGGTGCTTCGTAGGTGAGGTGTTCTCAGTGAGGGCCCTGAGGCAGATTGAGGACATGCTGGAGAGATTACGTATGTTGGCTGGCTTGGGAAAACCTTGATGGACTCACCCAAAAGAGCTGGAAGAAATGACTGAGGAGAAGGAAGTCTGGATGTCTCTGTTATAATGGTGCCCCCGTAACTCTGTTCAGGTTAAGTGGATGCAGATACACACTTTGTTTGTGCCTTCAACTCACCTTTACGCCCAGGAAAACCAGACTGACCAGGCTCTCCAGGGTTACCAGGGCTTCCTCTTTCACCAGGGAAACCTGGATCACCTTGTGGATATGGCCCATTTGGCAGTGAAGCTGGAAATATGACTCCAGGCAAACCTTTTGGACCTGGAAACCCTGGAAGGGAAAGGGTGGAGAAAAAGAGGGATGGAGGAAAGATAAAGGGTAGAAGAAAATTAAGAAGAAATTGTGGGGAAAAGAGTGGGGGAAACTAAAGACTTATGCTGTCCTACCTCTAATTCCTGCCATTCCTTTGCTTCCAGGAAAACCAGAGTCACCTCTAAAACCCTGGACACCAGGAATTCCAGCAAAACCACCATCACCCTTTTGTCCTGAAGGGCAAATACATAATGTTTCAGTTTATCTTTTTTTTTAATTGAAAACATATAGGAGCAAACATAGAAAAGAAGAAGCAGCATTTTTAGTTCATGCCATGTATTTTAGCCATACTCCACCTTTTAAACCAGGTCTGCCAGGGAATGCAGGACCTCCAGGTAATCCTGGTTCACCCTTTGTACCAGGGTTCCCTGGGAAGCCTGGCAGACCAGGGTCACCTCTGTCTCCCTGAGCTGTGCCTGGACCAGGTGGGCCGGGAAGACCTGGAGGACCTTGGACACCTGTAAGAAAGAAAAAAGGAGAGGAAGAGAGAAATTCAATTCAAGGAAGGTTGAATAAATTAACGTTAAAGGGAAAAGAAAGAAAAACTAAGCATAGAAAAGTATAGGAGAATATAAAAGGAAAAAAGAAAAAAATGTGAAAAAAGAAGAGAATGGAAAACAAAATCATCCAAGTTGATTAAGGAAATGTATTTACCATACTGTCCATCCAGTCCAGGGAGACCTGCATCTCCTGTAGGTCCAGGAAAGCTTTCTATTGATCTGGGTCCAGGAGGTCCAGGGATACCCGGGCTCCCTTTCAATCCAAAAGGACCTGATATACAGAAAGTAAAAAAATCTATTGCTATATATATTATTGCACATTGAATCTGCACATTTTTGATTTCATTGAAGTCTATTTCACCTGGTTCTCCTCTTTGTCCTTTTTGGCCGGGATACCCTGGAACACCGGGTTGGGAAACACCTCTTTCTCCCTTCAACCCTGGACTACCAGAAAGGCCAGGGCTACCTCCCAGAATTGCACCTAGATTAAAAAACATAAAGTTGTTAAATCTTTCATCTTTGCAAGCCTAAAACAATCAGACGTTGACCCTGATGAAGAGGGCGAAAAGGTTGAGCTTTGCAGAAGCAGTATGCCTCACAGCTTTGAATAATGAACTTTTCTGCAGACACACAAAGGGCCAAAATGCAAAACTGCTCATCTTTCCTCAGTTATCGAGCCTTAACTACTTGATACATTCATCTATTCTTACTGGATCATGCTAAGGTTAGCTTTAGCTTTGGATTATCTGGCTTATTGTACATCTCATTTTTGTTTACTGAGTACTGAGTGAGTAGTGAGCTGTGAAATAAAGCAAGAAATATAGAATCAGCTGGTGCGTGAAATGTGATTCTTGCCTGGGTTTCCAGGCAGGCCTTTAGGTCCTGCTAGGCCATTAAGGCCATCCAAACCAGGTGGTCCGGGAAAACCTAAAATAACAAAAATAAAACAAACAAACAAAACATTAAAAACACTGGAAAGACCATTTTTTTAACCTCATTTGGAAAAATCATTGTAAGATTAGTGTATGAATGTAGTGGATTTTCTTTTTTCCTTTCACCTTTAAACCCACGATTTCCAAGGAATCCAGGCCGACCAGGAAGCCCATCAGGCCCCCTTCCTATTCCTGGCAATCCAGGCTGACCTTTTGGTCCAGGGAAACCAGGAGAGCCTGCAGAGAAGAAAAACGACATCTCAACACTTTCTGTAAATACAAATCTCTACGACGTCATGAAGGAATTACTGCAACAGGACTTTGTTTTCTTAGGAGTTACTCACCCATTATTCCATACCGTCCCTGTTCACCAGGAATCCCCTTCTGTCCGAGGAAACCTGGATTTCCTGAAAATCCATTATCGCCAGGTTCACCAACTTTCCCTTGGTCGCCTGTCGACATATTTAAAATGTTTTAAAACTTCTGAAGAAATCAGAGATTGGAGACCAACTCTGATCTCCCAAAAAGCTTGTCCCACAGTACTAAGAATTTCTTCACCTGCACTAAATATATTTATTTTACTAAAAATAAAACATAAAGGAAATGTAAATTCTGATCCATGTCAACAAGTTTATAAAACATGACAACAACAAGACTACAAGTGATGTGATGCTGAATGCTTTTCTTTATTTACAGAGATGTGAAAAGGGAAAGACCATCTCTGAATCGAGGAGGGGGCCTAAGGGTACATCTTTCACCATCCTACAATGCTGTGATTGCAGCCGTTCCCCAACTCTCTGTGAATGATACTCATGGCCATTGATCAGTGGTTGCTGATCAATGGCCATGACAAATAAAGTTTCAAAACCGAGTAAGGTGAGTCTTACCTGGGATCCCTGAATCTCCTTGTCGGCCTTTAAGTCCTGGTGCTCCAGGATAACCAAAAGTTTCTCCAGGTAGTCCTAAGAGAAAAAAGCATTTAAGTCAATGGATGTTTGATTTGATTATGAACAGATGTAAAGAAGATGTTTATCACTGATGGTAGACTTCATATGTACTAGTGCTGTGCGATATGAACAAAATCTCATATCCTGATATAACACATTTATCGTCCCGACAACGATATAAATCACAAAAATGTAACATTTTCTGTAAATTCTGTGAATCTCGGGCAACTTGCGTGAAGCTGGGTGTCGTGTACCTTATTTGAGGTATTTTCATTAATGCATACTCCAAAATTTGACGTTTGACAATGCTGTATATTATCATCGCGTCAGTTTATTTTGAAAAGTTGGAACAGGATCTTCGGCTTTATTGTGACACTTTTATGTGGAAAATAAACAAGCGGATGGTGGAGCCACATGCTGCAAACAATAATGCATGAAAACAGTCGCTTGCCCATGCATAGTGCGTTTTTTTTAAATAGAAGAGAACGTGAGAACTATTAGAAATTAATATAGCCACTACAATATTGCCGTAAACAGTTTATTTTGGGACACAACAAAACAAATGATAGTGTAATACAGATGTTCTCATATCATCATCCGATGCATATCGTTATATCCAACAGCACTAATATGTACTCTTACCTTTGGCACCAGGCCGACCAACTTCTCCAGGCCTTCCAGATAAACCTGGAAAGCCATTATTGCCCTAAAAACAAACAAACAAACATCCGAATTTTAATCTCTGCCTGGCAAAATTTGCTACATGTATATGCATCTTTTCTTACTTTTGGTCCCACAGTGCCAGGGAATCCCATAATTCCAGATTCTCCTTTTTGTCCAGAGAAGCCTGGAAGTCCTGTTTCCCCAGAAAGGCCAGGTTCTCCCGGCAGCCCTTTACTCAGATCAGGGAAACCAGGAGCTCCAGGTCGTCCTGGACGACCAGGTGCACCTGGCTGACCCTTGTCACCTGTTAACCCAGAGAAAGATCAGAGTTTGTAACACAAGGTGATGGATGTTCACAGCAGCAAAAAGCAGTTAAATTCTTCATTAGAGAGCCTACATTTTGCAGAAGTGCAAACAGCTGCAGTTCCTCTAGTGGGAACTTGGGGCTGGCTCTGAAGGTCAGTATCTGGAGACTCCCGTATCAAAGTGCTAAACTTTACAGCATGTTTTCAGCATGTAACAAAATGCTGTTTTAGGGGTTTACTGATAATTTCCCCCTTCTTTAAGAGCACAGTACAGATATTTTGTTTGTTTGTTAAGCTGAGAGGTATCCCAACACAGGCAACCGTAGATGCTCTCTGTCTGCGAGGCAGTATTTCCACTAATCTGAGTCACTGCCCCGGCCCTCTTTATTGTGTTGGTCCTCTCAGCTTCATCCACCAATTCAGTGTTGAAGTCCTCATCTATGAAAAAATTTCTTATTTTACAAAATATGTAACAAATATGAATCTCTTCTCTAAACGATTTAAAATTCACCAGAAGATCCTAATAAAGTGTGCAGTTAATTTATGCCCTTCAGATTATCCGGTGACGTTCTGAAAGAAACAAAGCACCATGTTACCTCTGGGTCCAGTAAAGCCAGAAAGGCCGGTTATTCCAGGGTCTCCGATGTCTCCTTTCTCTACAAGCTCAGCTGAAAAAGGTCTACCAGGAAATCCGGGTGGACCAGGTAATCCTCTGTCACCTGCCAAAGTAAAAACAGAGGAATGTTGGTGCAAAGCCAAAGTTCATGCAACTTGATTGATAAATTCTTGGCCCTGAAAGATAACCAAAATGTTGATGACGTGGTTCCAAAACAGGGGTCCCCATCATGAGAGACGGTTGTTGTGGTGGTTCAACCAAACACAGTCTTTGAAAAACTTCTCATGGTGCCCAAAATTTAGGATGAGCATCTAATGGTGTGAGCCCTGCAGAAACCTACCAACCAATGGGAATGCCTTAGGACAAATGGAATTCAAATGTACAAAACTAAATATCTGGGATGCCATTAAAAGTCTAACTTGTTCATGTGAGATTGTTTGCAGCAAGTGCCCTTTAGATGCTGTTGTGACAGAGCCAAGTATTAGGCGGGAACAAAACAAACAGTGGGGGAATTGTAGCCATGCTTAGCCATGTCACACAGTTTGCCTCATGATAATCTCAAGGAGTAGCATTAGCATTGCTAATTCATTCTTTTATTGGCCCAGGATCAGTACACTTATTCCTGTGGGGGATATTTTACCTTTAGTTCCAAAGAATCCAGGCGACCCAGGGCGTCCATTTGCTCCAGGCACTCCAGGCTGTCCTTTCACTCCGGGAAATCCTGAACTGCCAGGAGGTCCTGCAAATCCAGGGAAGCCCATCATTCCTTGGATGCCTCTGTCACCTGTGGAAATTAGCATAGTTAGTCACTATTATGATATCTGTAACAAAGCAGAATGGCAGTGACAATGTCAGTAATACTGGACAGGTAACTGAAACATATGAAGCAGAGAAAAAAAGTGAAACGTTTGCCCGTCATTGGTTGGCTCTATTGCGCTAATAAGAATTAAAATGAACTGAGAGGTCATGCTTCCCTTAGGCAGCATCATTCAAGGGTACAGCACACATTTTCTTTGTTATTCAGATGGCACTCAGGTTTATCTATCCTCGAAGCCTGACGACACAAACCTGCAAAAGTGTGCGTTAAACGGCAGGAATGTCTTACAGACATACAGACTTGTTGACCTCTAAATTCTGATGAAACTGAGGTCATTGCACTTGGCCCTAAAAATCATGCAAACATATTGTCTAACCTAATTATCTGGGCTTCTACTAACACTGTGAGATATCTTGGAATTGTTTGACCAGAATTTGTAATTCATTGTTATCAGGCTGTCTTAAAAACTCCCTGAACAATCTTAAAAAAGTAATCTTGTTCACCACCTCACCATGATCAGTACATTGCAGCACTGACCATATTACTGATGTTCGTACAATGGTGATATGAATTCCCCAACCATGCCTTTATAATGTGGGAGTCAACCAGTAGGATCACTCTGTCCATCATCATAGTCAGTAAAGTCATGATCAACATCTAACACGACACCACTAAAAATGACAAATGTGGCCTTGGAAAAAAACAAAAAAACTACTTCTGCAGACCCTTTCTTCCTGGCGTTCCTGGAATTCCATCTATAGTCCCTGGTCCTGGTAAACCGGGGCGTCCCCTTGTTCCTGGTAACCCAGTAGCACCAGGTCGTCCGGGAGTTCCTTTCATCCCAGCAGGTCCTGGGAAACCTGGTTCTCCTCTTTCTCCTTTCCGACCAGGGAAACCTGCCAATAATGGAAGGAGAGACAGTGAGAAAAACAAAACACTGACAACAATCTGACATTCATACAGACACATGGAAAAAGGGCTGCTGGCTAATTATCTGGAAAAGCATGCAGTCTTCGGGTGCTTACCAGATTTTAAAATTACACAAATACAACCTCAAATGAACAGCAACACATTTCATAATGTAGTCCAAAAGTCAATAGTAGTTAGCATCACCTTTAGCAACAATAACTTGATAATGTTCTGCATGATTTTATCAGTCACATCATTTTCTAATAATCTTGGCTCAGTATTCTTGACAGCGTTACTTCAGTTCATGAAGGTTTACAGAAATTAATTTATGCACAGCTGAACAGAGCATTTAAGTCATTGGTTCTGTTTCCATGTCTCCCCTGTGTCGATGCTCCATCACGCATGCTAACTTCTGTCTCCATGTTTATTCATCTGTTTCCCAGTCGTGTCTCTCGCTGCCTTGGTTCCCTGTGTTCAGTTAGTCCATGCTTTAGTGTGTGTGTCTCATGTTTCCTGTTTTATTTTGATAGTCTGTTGTCCTGTCAGTTTTGCTTCCTCCCTGTCTGTTATGTCTGATTAGTTCCAGCTGTGTTTCCCTCTGTTTCCCATCATCTCGTTATCCTCCGTGTAATTAGTCTGCTGCCTTTTTTTTCGTTACTTAGTAACGCAGTAACACATTGAGCGTACGGTAAAGTAACAGTAATCTAATTACTTTTTTGTAGTAGTAATCCCTGACTTTTCTCTCTACTTGAAAAAGTAATTGGATTACATCACTTTTAACGCATTACTGCCCATCTCTGCTAATGACCTTTAACATTTAACATGACAACTGAGCCCTGTAGAGTCTGAGACGTACCTCTTGCACATTTTCACTGAGCATTGCAGGACTGATTGAAGGCGAATTTGCTGGTAGGACCGCTCCTACACTTTTTCCCAATGCTTCTTCTTTTTGCTTTTGTTTTTGTTTATTAAATACACAATGCAACATGTTTTGTAGTTCATCTGAGGCTGTGTTTGCCTAATTTTAAGACCTGCTAAGGACCAGACTATCTTTATTATGTTCTTATAGGTACAACCTTAGAATTTAAGAGGCTAATCTTTCTTTTTGACCATAACTGTATCATAATATAATAATATGTATTATTATCTTTTGTATGAGGAATACACTTACCTCCGAACAATCAGGTTTTAAGCTAGTTTTTCTATCTTTTAACACACATATTAAAGCAGCCTTGCAAACAGCAACAACAATGCCATCACACATTTCTTTACAATACTTCATTGCTGCGATTGGTCTGTAATTGCACCCAGATTGCAGATTTTGTTGCAGAGACATGAAAGCTCAGTGTGGCTAATTTTGATACTCACATTACAGGAGAACCAGCCGATTGGTAATCATACTGTTTCTGAGTGCAATTCCAGACTAGCAAGGTTAAGCCATCTAAAGCACACTAACTGCTACTGTTTACATTCTTAAAAAATGAACCCATTTTCAGCACATCTGTGCTGCAAAGTTGCAGCTTATCACTTTTTGATCAATGCAAGGATGCGCTGAAAATAAGAAGTCCCTTCAAGAGTGTAAAATAAAAAGCTTCTAGCTTTGAGTTAAACAGCATTTGCCCCCAAATCTTCAATTTTCACACAAACCTGTTACAGTTAATTCATCAAACACATCTGGAACTGATTAGACAGAAACACTTAGTTCACAATGAGGTTAGTCGTTTCTGCAAGTAAGAACAGCAAACAGTGGTTTTCACATTTCCTGCGGAAATGCTTTGTTTACAGAACTGTTACAAAATATCCATCTGGTTCAGTCTTTCTGTGGGGTGTGATGATGTCATTTCCTCTAGCATCATAGTTTTATGTACTTTAAAATAGTTATTGATGCAAACACAGTCAAATGGCACGATTATGATGAAGCACCTCATCAAACATAGGCAAAAGTCATCGTCTCTTAGATAATGAGGTAACACTATATTTGGAGGAGGTAAGCTGCTCCACCCCCTCCCAAAAGACAAAAATAAATAAAGAACAAAAAAAAAATTACATAAATAAATTAATATGCCATTCAATTAATCAAAAATAATTTGAAAATAATAAATAATATAGGCGTTAATGTTTTACTTTGCCTCTGTATTCATTCACCTTCATATTAATTACTTTCCTTTACCATCTTTTTTTTCCAGAGACGTGGTGTTACACCCCATACGAGACTCCACGACTGCACTGTGGAGATGGACATTTGTGTGCAGCGCAGATGAGAAATGAAGGCAGCAGTTCAAGTGTTTGTTCTAATACACCAACAGCAAGAGGATGGAGGAAATGCAAGCCAAGGGTGGCGCGGCTGGGAGGGAGGAGAGATGGACAATGGGACGAGGGAAAGAGTGTCTCACCTGGGCAGCCTATAACGAGTGACCCAACACCAACAAAAAAAGGATGGAGGGATGAGAGGATGGATGGAGATGATGATGGTGGTGGTGGTGTTGGGAAAAAAGATGAAAGTGACAAGGAGGAAGAACAGAGACATGGAAAAATACAACAATACAAAAACAAAGAGGGAGAAGACATTCTCGTGGGTGATGCAGTGTTTGATAAACAACACGATTCAAACGGGCAACTGTGATGATGGAGACTGTGAAAGAACGATGTGAACAAAAGAGGAATGAACCAGAGCTGGTGCAGGGATGAGAGGTGAAGGATTTCAGTAGAGATCACAACAAAGTCATATTTCACCTTCTTTTGCAATAATTCACACTAAGAATCTCTCAAAGGTACAAATTCGAGTGTAAAATGTGCAAAAAATATAACAAAACCCCCAAATCATTTCTTTCTCTCACCTGGTGGTCCTCTCAGACCCTTACTACCATCAGGGCCAGGTGGACCAGGAATGCGACCATCTGGGTCACCTGGAAGCCCAGGAAGGCCAGGATTACCAGGAAAACCGTTAACTCCGCGTTCTCCTTTCCGACCAGGAGCACCAGGACGTCCATCAAACCCTTCAAGAACAGACTTTGTTTACAAAGTGTTGCTTGCAGAAGCATTTAAATGCTAAGTCAGCTGGCATTTGTTATTTCAGGACACCCATCGAATACTATGTTTTTATTTGTTTTTATTAAAATAAGTAACTGACTTAAATCCTGCTACCCACCAGGCATTCCAGGTCCTCCAGGTGTTCCCGGCTGGCCCTTGTCTCCAGGAATTCCTGGTAAACCGTTCTGACCAGGAAATCCAGGTGTAGCTCCTAGCACCTCTCCAGGCTGGCCCTTGGCTCCAGGACGGCCTGGGAGACCGTCCTTACCCCTGGGCCCATCAAAACTCTGCCCTGGGATACCTGGAATACCAGGGTCCCCTCTGGGTCCAGTGAAACCTGCAGGGAATGACATCCCGAGCAACGCATTAAAATGCACAATAGTGAAGTTGGAAGCACCCTCTCTATCACTCTCTCTGTGACAGGAAGTTGTAACCAACCAAAGTTAAGGACAGGAAACCGCCAAAGATCAAGGTTAAAGATTAAATATCGATAGACTGAATGTGGGGGAAATTCAGAATTTTTGATTTCAGATGAAGTTCTGTGTGCACTCTGAATGTAAGCAGTTTATGTGAACAGATTTTTTGACAATTTGTCCCAGGTAATCAGTCTGCTATCACAAACAGATTGCATGTAATTACCACTTGATCCTATTTAATCACAAAGTGATAGCAGACTGACTGTCTTTTTGCCATTTTAACGCCATCTTGAAACACCAAGGTTGCTTTGAAGACATCACCTGCCCATGTGCATGGTTGTAGACGTGCCCCTGCAACGCGAACATTTCAAGATCTCCATGTTTATTGACATGTTTTAAACATGTCATTTTGTTTACGGCACAGCCTCCAGTAACTGCCTAATCATAAATGCAGCACTAGAAGCAAAAGAAAAACCTGTCAGGGGCTGGGTCTGTGACCCGGTGTTTTGGGTTTATTTTGTATTTGTGATTTTATTATGTTAAGATTGAGATAATATTAAGTTCTGGTGTTATTATTTAGTTGGGGTTTAGTTGAGTTTTATTCTAGTTTTTGTTCCATCAATGTCTCCTGATTTACGAGTCGTTTCCTGTCCTCTGTGTAGTCGGTCTCGTCCTCTGTGTTTTCACTTTCATTTATGCCAGTGCATTAGTCTCTCCCTTCTGATCCATGTTCTAATTGTCACCCTTGTGCTGTCGTGTCTATGCTCCATTATGTTTCCTGCTTGATTTTGTAAGTCTTGTTTCCATGGTCAGTGTGTTTAGTTTTGCTTCCCCTGTGGCGTCATGTTTATTTGTTTCAGCTGTGTTTCCCCAGCTGTTTCCACTTCCAGCATTACCCTTCGGTGTGTTTAAGTCGCCCATCTTCCTCTGTTGAGTGTCGGGCTGTTTGGTTGTCTTCATGTCAAAGTTTCCAACTGTCCGGGTTCATGTTCATGCTCATACTCATTTTCATGTTTTGATTATTTCACAGTTACATTTTTGCATGTTCGCATTCAGTTTCATGTCCTTGCCTCGTTCTTCTATTTCTTTTGTATCTTGTGTCTGATTTTGGGTCCAATTCATAAACACACCAGCTATCCCTGCCATGTAATTGCATTATAAGAAGGCCTAAATCAGAGATTAGAGGATAATTAAATTAATTACACAATTCAATTCACATTACAATAAAAAAAACTTTGAGTTTCATTTGTAATTATTTGACTTTTGCATGTTATGTCTTATTGCAGTCTGGTACAGAGAAACCCCACCACGCAATTTTACCTTCAGGTCCACGCACGCCTCCGGTGCCGGGGTCTCCTCTTTCTCCTTTGGGGCCATCAAACCCTGGACGTCCAGAGGGCCCTTGCAGCCCTGGTTTACCTTTAAGACCTGGCAAAGAGGCACAATCATTCTGATGATTTGTTTCCCCAGTTTGTAAGCAATAGTCACAACAACATTACAAGCAGTAATACAGACAAAGTTGTTTCATAAAATTATTAATGAACATATTCATCTTATTTCTGTAAACACTGATTGAGAATCTTAATAGATCAACTACAAAACCTAGAGCCACAAAGTAAAATCATGCAATTTGCACCTGTATCTACAAATGAACAATGTGAAAGTGCATGCAAAGAGGACCTATTATGCTTTTCTCCATTTCCTGTTGTTCCATTGGTAGATTGGTGCATTAAACATGGGCAACGTTTGAAATGTTGAGGTCATCTTGTGTAAAATTAAACTACTACAATTTATTCTTGGATCCGTGATGTCATAGAGAGGGATAGGCAGCCAATCAGAGAACATATGGTGTAAAGGTGTGTGTGTGTTTGTGCCTAACTGTGATCATCATAGAGTTTAAGGCTTTAAGGCTGTAAAATCACCATAAGACATCTGTTAAATCGTACCTGGTTGTCCAAGGAAACCGGAATCGCCTGGGTCTCCTGCCTCACCCGTAAATACGCAAGCCAGAGTTTGTCCTGGTAGCAGTCATACACAGGTTAGCATTCAGACCTCAAGCACTTGAATACACATTTAGAGTGAACACTTGGACACATAATAGCACATCTACAAATGTATATATACACAGTTTTAGAGTTGTGTATTCTTTTCAACTAATCAAATCAGGGCAAAGAGTTGAAGTAGCGCAATGTAGCACAGGTCAAAATCACATGTTAAATACAAACAAAGACTTCAGTATAGTGAAACATCAACTTTAACACCATGGTAGACATATGTGATAATGTATTATTATAAATAACTGCAAGATAAACACAGTGACACAGTAAAATGTTGGATAATTATATTCAGTGAATGTTTATTTGAGGTGCTGATTGTCTATCGCCTCCACTCACGCCAACAGAGACTTTTTGTGCAGGGAGTTAGAAGCAAATTCTTTATATTAAGAAGATAATGGGAATTAGAAATCCAGTGCAGGTTTTGTGTTTCATTTCATTCATTAATTAAAAGCATTTAGCAGAGGTTTGGCTTGAAAACATGCGCAAGATTTCAGCAGCTTTGATTGGAAGCCGAGCGCGTATAAACAGCCCTGAAGCTCGACAGTCAATCATTGACTGACTGGGCCTGAGTGGAAACCCTGAAGATGCAGGGAGCGAGAAGCTTCCATCGGCCTCGTCATGAACAAATGATTGACAGTTAGCCAGTAGTTTCCAGAGTGCACTATGTTTCCCATGATTAAAGGAGGCTGGGGCTTTTTCTGAAAAGACTTCCCTTATGAAACATTTATAAGCTGTAATAAGACCTCAAACAATAGTCTGGGCTCCCAGACTGTGAAAAATATCTTTGACACAATGCTTTTTGACAGAGCTGCAGAAACACTGGAGTTTCTTAGGTGTTTACCAAGGGTCTACTAATATTACAAGGGCAGAATGATAAAAAGGATAAACATGGGCTATTTAGGAAAATGCAGAACCTGGCAACCCAAAGCTAATGAATGGCTTACATCCAGGCTATCACATCATTAACCCTCTGAGATCTAAGTCATCATCTGTGCCAAACCTAAGCTTAACTATAACCCCAAGCAATCAGAATCATTCTTTCTTTTTATGCCCAAATCTTGGCAATTAGGGAACGAAGACAACAACTTTTGTTTAACCAGATTATAGGCTTAGGTTTGGATTATGATCACAAGTTATTTTGTCTCCCTAAATATACTGAGTAATTTTTCCCTTTTCTATCTTCGAGGTCCTACAGGCTTGACTAAAGCAAAACCCATGGTTATATTTTTAATGGTCATCATTGATACCATGTCTTCTTTTCTCTCTGTTTTAGTTTCATGAATTATGACATTTACAGTTCTTTACACACTATTGCAATAACTTTGGACCCAACTGTTTGTGGGAGGTTTACTGGCCTAAAAAGTTTCTCTAGTTTCTGAAAGTCATATAATTGAAGCATCATTCATTGAATGTGGAATGCTCGTTTTTTGAAACCCATCAGACAGACCAAACAGGTTGCTTCCATTGTAAACAGCAGCAGCATAGTCATCCACCAGCTGCTCGTCTGCCTGCAACTAACTCTAGAGGTTCTGTCAAAGGCTCACTAGCCTGGCTGGTGGATAAAAGAATCAGTTACCCACCCTGTCCCTCCTCGGCGTCATTAAGCCCTTCACAGATGCTTTCACCTGGATAGATACACATGCACAAAGGAGGTCAGAGAGACGAGGGGATGGATGGATGGGGGAGATAAAGACAGGTAGAGAGAGAGGGAGAGGCAGAAGGTGGCAGCATACAAAGCCACTTAGGTTGATTTGCATGCCCCAATAAAGCCATTGAGTTGGGTTTTCATCACAACAGGTATCAGCAAATCAGCAATAAGTTCATTCAGTTCAGGCAAAAACAGGTTATTGCCGTCAACATGAGAGGAGAGAGAGGAAGGAGGGGCATCTGTGTGCCAGCGATGCATCCAAACACTTCGTTCTCTCTTAACTCCTGCCAGCGACAATAACCTTCATATTAAAAGCAAAAATTAATCAGTCGTCATGGTATGAAAGCACACATTCATACTAAAGATGAGTGGCCAGCTGCTGCCGAAAGGCTTGTGTCATTTAGTCTCAGGAAGATGCGGGCGTCTGCTGCCGCCATCATTTTATATTCATTGTGGCTGTAGCAAAAAACTGAAAAGTGTAGCTAGAAGCTGACTGTTGATAAGCTAAAAAAAAAAAAAAAGAATTGCAAAGGAAAAAACACACATAAACTATGTTTTGGTTTGGTTATGTAAATTTAGTTTAGCAGGGTAAAAAGCCAGACATGGCAAACATCAAACTTCTCACCTGTTCTGAGACTAAACAAGCACAGTCGTTTTAGCTTAATCAGCAAATACATCATCATCATTAAGCATCAATCATTCCATTAAGGAAGCAGTTTATAGATTGTTGGCTGCAGGTGAAGTGTGTAAGTACATTAATGGAGACCGTTAATCATTTCGTTAATCGTTTGCTGCTGCAGCCGAGGAAACACGGAGAGCAGGAAGCTGCTTTGGAAGAGGAAATCTAACAAGAGCCACAAGCTCTGTCCAAGTCCTGGACAGGCTGCCTCACAGAGGTCTTATAATGATCTAGCATGTGAGGACGATAACTGTTGTGTGCTGAGGATGGACAGTGATGGGATGAGGTGGTGTGGATATCGCCCTGTGGAAGAAGACTGTATGACACACATTCACATATTTTATGTCATTCTCTGTCTCACGGACACACACTCAAAACACCATTATTTACCTTTCTCTCCAGGTGAACCCGGTATACCTGGAGAACCAGGTATACCGGGTTCTCCAGGGTCTCCACGCAAGCCGGGTGCTCCATCATAGCCAATGCCCGGCTCACCAGGGCCTCCAGGACGTCCCTTAGAACCTGGAAACCCTTGAAATCCTTTTTCTCCCCTTGAGCCGATGCCTGCATCACCCTAGAGAGGAGAGGAGAGAAGAGGAAAGGAAAGGAAAGAAAAGAAAAGAAAAGAAAAGAAAAGAAAAGAAAAGAAAGAAAGGTGAGAAATGGAAGAGGGAATGGAAAATAAGGAAACAGGAAAGAGGATAGGCCATTAAAGGAAAGAGAAAACCAAGAAGAAGGAGAAAAGGAAAGTTAGAGGAAATATAAGAAAAAGAAAGTAAAGAAAGCAAAAAAGGGAAAGCAAAGAAGGTGAGTGGTAGAAAATATGAGTAAAACAAAAGAAGGATAATGAAAAGGTGGGAGAGAGAACAGAAGACAAAAGAAAATAAAAGGAAGGAAAAGAGAAAAAGGAAGGAAAGAGATGATAATATACAAAATAAAAGGGGAAGAACAGAAAGGCACAGAAATTATACAGGAGAAGAAATGAAATAAGGGAATGAGATGAAAAGACAGCAAAGAAGCGAGAGACGAAAAACAAAAGAAGAAGAAAGGGGAAAACACGAAATGAAAGGACAGAAAATATATGAGAGGAAAGAGGAAACAATGATCCTCATTTGGACGTCTTTTTAAAAACGTATTAAATGAAAATCTTTCTGAAGATGAACTAATATGTAAACTGTGTTTCGAAGGACTCACTGGGGGTCCGGGAAATCCAGGGAAGCCAGGCAGCCCGTCTCTTCCAGGATTTCCTGTTTCACCTGTAGGTCCTCTGGGTCCAGGATCTCCTATGACTCCCTTCAACCCCAGATTTAGGGTGGGGTAATATGGAGCCCCCTTCTCTCCCTTACGCCCGGGGAAGCCCCGCTGACCAGGAGGACCCTGCAGAGTTACAGAAATGTGAAACTTCAGAAACTGGTATGCATGCATTTAAATTACTTATCATTATGATTAATACGATGATGATGATGATGATTATTATTATTAATAATTCCCATTCAAGTCATATCAAGGGCAGAGTTTTGCTTACACTAGGTCCTGGACGACCACTGAAGCCTAGTGAACCGGGGTCTCCAAGAAAACCCTTCACCCCAGGCAGGCCAGGACTGCCATTGGTTCCTGGACGTCCAGGTGGTCCATCTAACCCCGAGAAGTCTCCTCCAGAACATCTGCAGTCACCAGGGTCGCCTGCAGGACGGCGGGATTAAGAATTGTAGATTGTCGCACTTTTTCTTCCATTTCCAGTTGTGTTTTAGTTTCCTTGGATACCAATGCTTCGTATTTGTATTTTGCTGCTTGCTTTTCATTTATTACTGTGTGGGTAAACTCCTCACTCACCTCTTCACTTCTCGACAACAATTTTGACTCATTTTGAAATACGCGATGATTTAAATATATTTTTTGCGAGAAACAAATCATTTCATTTCATGAAGTCTGCATATCTGCGTGTACCTCTAAACCCTTTGGCACCAATGTTTCCAGGAAATCCTGTGGGACCAGGCGGCCCAGGGCCTCCAGGGGGAGCAGTTGGTAGACCTTCAGAGTCACCTGCACAAACACACACGCAAAGCTACACCCATTAGAGGTTACACTGACCGCAAAGTAGTTTTAAAAGTCACAAATTGTTACTTTAAGATTTTACACAAACACTTTATACTTGTTTAAGTTTCTTGAACTGATTTATTGCTTCTGCTTTTGAAACCAAGCTTTCAATAACCGGAAAAGGAATTACTCAAGCCAGCAGAGCGGAAGTGCGGCTCGAAGCCACAGTTTAAAATCAGGTTAGTTTGCTTTGTTTGGTTTCCAGATTCGACAAAAGATTTAAGCTTCTGTTGCAAGATGAGAGGCTTATTTTTTGCCATCTTAAAATGTAAAACAACATGAACCCCTTCAGTGATTTTACATCGACCGTCATGGTTAAGAGCTACTCACCAGAAGCAGCATGCACAGCCTGTTGCAGTTCGGAGCCTTACCCCGGCAAAGAAAATACCCAAACACAGTCATCTTCCATGCCAGTGAAATCATCTTTTGTTTTTCCAATGATTTCCTTCCAGTATGTTACACAGACTGTTTCTTCCTGTGTTTCCATGTGTGTGTTTTACAAATAAACAGTCATTAAAGAAATCTTTTGCTAGCAAGCGTTAATGTCCACATGAGATCTGTGAATTACGTTCACAGCAGGCGACACCTTGTCACCAGAGATGAGAGAAGCAGCTTGGATCAGTAGAGAGAGCCTCTCATATCCAAGACTGAAGCTGGCTACACTCTATACTAACAACCGCTCCCTCCACAGCACAGAAGTGATCAAATAAAGCATTGTGGCAGCTAGATGCTGGCTGTGAAAGTTGAGTCTGTGGTTTTGAATTTCACTTTGGCAGCATGATTGTTGCTGGCGAGTTTCAAAGAAATATGGCTGCCTTTGGGATACCTGTAGGACTGACCTGTATCAGGATAGATGTAGCAGGGCTCAGCGTTTGTGCCTTGAAGGACAGCAAAGTCAGTCAGCTGTTATATTTGAAAGTGTTTCTATGTCTTGTCTTTCACTTCTACCGAGTAGTTGAATTTTATTGTGTTTAAAATGTAAAAACCTATTTTTTATATACTGAAAAATATTTTGCTTGAATCCCCGTAACCCCAACAGTAACAGAAACTGAGCACAACTTACACAACAGTCAAAGCTCAAACATGTATAAGAAAATTAGGAGGAAATAAAAATAAAGCTGTACTTTCAAATATTCGGTTTCTACTTCTGCTTGCCTGAGAGGGAAGGACCACAGAGCTTTATCTGCTGTTTTTGTGTAAATGTACCTGGAGGGCCTTGAGGTCCAGGAAGGCCACTGGGACCTGGGGGCCCAGGGAGTCCTGGGAAACCTTCAAAACCAGTGGGCCGTAAGCCGGGGTCACCCACTTCTCCTTTTACACCTTTGGGCCCAGGAGGACCTCGAAGACCTGTGTGCACAGACAGCTTCTGTTGTCTAAAGATCATTACTGATGGTGGTTAATCCTCCGTGATCAGTGTGAATTTGTGTGTATTACCTGGACCAAAACGATCAGGTCCTGGTTGGCCGGGAGGTCCTGGAAAGCCTTGAGGTCCCTGGTCACCCCGGGGTCCTGGAAAGCCACGTAAACCCGAGTCCCCCGGAGGTCCTGCAACCAATCACAGAAGAGGTGGTTAAAGGGCCGGTGGTTCACAGGAACACATGTGTAAAAAAAACTCAAGGTGTTACCTTGAATAGCATAACCCCCATTAACAAAAGAGCTAGGTCCTGGGGGTCCGGGGTCTCCCTGGTCTCCCTACAAGATGTACCCAAAAAACAGGTTAGAGCAGAAATATTGATGGTATCATCTCTCTAAACCAACATATAGATAAGTAACCATTTTCAGTTAGCTAACCATAAAACCCAGAGGGTGTATCTGAAAATGTGTCATTGTGGCAGAGTGATATTAACATTTTGTGCTTTCAGTGATGCTCGTTTGCTCTTCTGGCTGTAATGAGCGGTTGTTGAGTTACTGCCTTCTTCTCAGCTCAGAGTAGTCAAGCCGCTCTCCTTTGATATTAACAAGGCATCTTCACCCACCTTGCTTCCTCATTCTTTGCTCTGTTTGAACCTCAGCAGGTCATCTTGACCATGTCAACATGTCCAAATACGACTGCTGCCATATTATCAGCTGATTAGATATATGTTACCAAGAAGTCAAAAGGGTTTAATGAAATGTCCTGTAACTGCTAAGCTAGGATAGTGTCTATAAATGAAGATCCGTGATTAGGCAATTTAATTATTGTTAATGTTTTATATTAAAAAATATCCGCTTTTACAAGTTGTCATTACCTCTGTAACAAGAGTAGTATATGTGACAGATAGAGCAATAAAAATTGCTACCATCAGTGTGAGCACAGTAGCCCCATCTGCTGGTGAAATAGCAGAGAAGCTTTATACAAACTTTGCCCTTTCAGCTGCTGCCTTTATGCCTACGGCGTGTGGATCTGATATATTGTGGTGTTATAAATTCACAGGTTCACTACAAATGATATAAAAGTTCTTTTTAGTAAGAAATGTTGATGTCTCTTTATAATTATTAGGATATAGGAAAACACAGCTGTAAGAAAATACCCGACTTGTACCATACATCTGCTTTAGAGGAACAGTGATTCTACCTTGAATCCTGGGTAGCCCGATGAGCCTGGGGTGCCTGGACGTCCTTTGGGTCCCTGGGTGGAAGAAGAAAAATTAATCTAAATTGAACATACTGTACAGGTTTAAAGACTAATGGCTATCATGCCATGCAGCAGGGGTGTCTGTGTTGACAATAATATATATATTTTGTCATGAGTTAGGAAATAAGAGGATGCAGTAACTCCTGAGTTTCCTATAGATATTATGAGGTTATCTGAAGTGTACTTCGAAGTATGTACTGTATTTTTTCTTGGTTTTTGTGGGACTTTTTGGTTGTGAATGCACATGAATATGATTCTTAACATGGAGTAAGGGCAACAAATGTGTTGCTCTTTTTTTCTATGATTTAAGACCATCAACTACATTTTTACATGAAACCCCAATTCACTAAATAAAGGTAAAATTATATTTGATCCATATAGTAGATCCATCTACTACAACAGTAGATGGATCTCCTCTTCTATGTAGGAAAGACCATGTGTCTAATATAAGAGGATAACTGTGGGGATGAAGGCAAAGAAACAATTACTTTCACCTGTAAGCCAGCTGAGTATTTTCTGTGGCTCATAATTAATGTGAGAACTATTACTCTGTGCTTACAGTCTTACAAACCCTACCTGCAGTCCTGGAACACCGGGCGGTCCGTTAAACCCTGGAGCCCCCTGCTTGGCAGAAACACAAACAACACCCACCACAGAAGAAGAGGAAATGGTGAGAGGAGTTCCCCTCACAAAGGGAAATAAGGAAGGAATTTCAAACAGTAATGTCACTAAATGCACTTTAACTGAAGCCAAAAAGCGCAGAGTCTTACTCTGCTCCCGGGGTATCCAGGAATGCCCTTTTCTCCATATTCTCCAGGATAGTCAAAGGGTCCCTGTGATTCAGCGACAAAAAGGAAGGTCTCCTGAATCAAAATTTCTCCTAAAATGCATCTTGCATGGTGGGCATGAAATAAAAAATAAACAAGCAAACTGTTTGAATACTTACAGGTAGGCCGGGTATTCCAGGGTATCCTTTAGTTCCCTTTGGACCGGGGTCACCCTTTGAGAGAGGCAACGAGAGAGCAAAGTAAACAACAGCAAAAAATCCATCCTTGTTACGCACTCCATCCCCATTTGTTTTTCATTCATTGCCTTTAATAAATCATGGATCCTGTTCACGTGTGGTTTCTTCTTTGCGCGGTAGAGCTTTAACTGGCATTTTGTGGATGAATTTGTGGAAGTGTTCCTGAGCCCATGGAATGATTTCCATGAGTGAATCATTCCTGTTATTAATGCCGCGCCGTCTGAGCACCCAGAGATCACAGACAACCAATAGGAATCTTTGGATTCCCCCAGATTCTCCAAATCTTTTGGTATTATGCGCTGTAGATGACGACATATTTTAAGTATTAATAATTTGATATTGAAGCACATTATTCTGAAATTATTCGACAATTTGCAAATTGTTGAACCTCTGCCCTGCATTACTTCTGAGAGGCTCTTTTTATATCCAGTCATGTGACTCACCTTTGGCCAGTTAACCATTTTTCTTAACATTACGCATTTTCTCAGCTATTCATAAAATATTTGCAAATCATTGCATTCAGTTCTTATCTAGAGCACATTTAAAGCGTCACAATTTGGGGGATAAGTGGGTTTTGTATTTAATTGTGCTAAAATCAGGATCGTCTGTGACAGTCATAGTTTGCTGGACAGTCAAGTAGACGTACTCCTCTTGTTGAAATGCATGCAGCACTGTTGTGCCTCAAGTCTGTTGCATGTAATTTAATAACAGTGACTGTTAGTGCCTCCCTAATTTACAGTTTTGATGAAGTGGAATTAAAGACGTCATTTTTCCACATCTTTTCCTTCCATTTGTCTCTTATTCACGTAGCCTGAGGTTTATTATTTGACCTTCCAGCTGTGAAACCTTTACTGACTCAGGCATGCAAAAGGTCTTATAAAAGTCTGGAGATCACTGAGGTCTCGGAGCAAGAGCTACCAAAAGAAAGGGTTGTCATTATCGTGACGTATGTGGCGTTTTTCCATCGCTGTGCGGCTGATCTGATTTAATCCTGCTTCAGTCTGATAAAAACAACACCTTGCTAAGAAAACGGTCTCATGCAGCTCGTCATTTAACAGCTTAATGTGGCTGCTGCTGTCTGCTTAGACCCTAAAGCACTAACATGGGGTGATTTCACCCACGCGGTGAGTAAATATCACTCAGTGGTATTTCCCAGGGGAATTCATATGCTCAAAAGGTATATAGTCAGCTGGTCACCTTCACCCTTCCAATTTTTTGTTCTTGTTGTTCATCTATCCTACTGTTTTCAGTGATGCAGGGAGTCTGTCACCTCCCTGGAAAAGGATCACATTTCCCAGGAAAAAGTTTCCATTTTTCTTTTATTTTTGTAGATTTTTTTCTCTTTGATACCTTTTTTTGTAGAGGGGAAATAAAAGAAGAGTCCTTTTTGCCGTGCATTTTCCTACTTTAATACGTTTTGGGAAGCATGTTTTAACTGATTTATTATATCAGGGGAAATGTTCCCTGACATTAGCGATAGCGTTACAAAACTAGATGTTAGTGTTGTGAATGCGTTCAATATAAAGCTGCAGCATTAGCATAGTGTTGGTTTTTAACTTTCTGAGTGGCCATAGGCTCAGAAACTATTCTGCTCGCCTCTACAAACAGAAGGTAGATGCATTCGCACAAAGTCTTGGTAAAGGACAGGAAGCTTTTTGCTTGTGTTTATATTGATCAGCCACGCTGGAGCGTGCTTTGGTTGCATGAAGCAAAAACAATATGTGTTGGGCAAATAGAGAGCTCGCTTTTCAAGAAATCTGCTAGATGACCATCGCTGTCATGTGGCAATAATTAAAAATCTACTTTTCCCAGTGACACATGGACATAACAGGAAGTCTTGGTTTGGATGTGTCGGTTACACCAAAGAAAAATGTCCGTTTCTCTCATTCATAAAGCAGTGAACCTGGGAGAAAAGTATGTAAGTAAGTGAAGCATACAAGTTTACCAACACATGATGGTGTCGATCACTTTCAGGCTGTTGCCACCATTAAAATGACTTTTTTATGTTTGAAACTGATTTTTTTGTGACAGTGAAATAAAACGCTAATTATGACTCGTGTTTCCCAACAAACCTGCATTCCTTTGTCTCCTTTGGGAAAACCCACAAACTCCACAACGCCATTGATCATTGGCTGGCCGGGGTCACCAGGCAAGCCCATGTCGCCCTGGATGCGGTGACCAAGGAAGAAAGAGCTGTTTACGCTGACGAAGCGCGGGAAAAAACAACCCCAGCTTTTGGAACGTTTAGGGGAAGAGAGGGCAGACTGTGGACTGGAGGATGGACGGCATGAGGCCGCGCAGGAAGCGGCTGAAGAGAGCACAGGCCGAGGAGAGGAGCGAGGAGCTTTATGGATGAGGATGAAGAGAGGCTGGTGTTTGTTGTTTCTTTACAACTTTAATCCTACTTACAGAAACTTTGAAGGAGGTTCAGACAGTAATAGTCAGATTCAATTTTAAGTTTTTTTTAACTAATTATAAACAGATTTGATTTCTTTTGGCAGATCTCCTCATGTTTCCAAAATTGTCTGTACTCAAGATGTGTCAGTCTGTGTCATGTGTTTGAAAGCTACCAAAAAATTTAGGATCAATAGTTTGAACTTGAAAGCTCAGACATGCTGAGTTTATAACAGTTTATAAAAGTTTATAACAGAAACTTTTCACTAGGGTCCACTTTGCCGTCTTCACTAGACTGCAGTTTAATGCATAAACGTTATAAGCCTCAAACACATTGCACAATGACAACACATCCCAAGGAAGAAAAACTATTTAATCCAAACACCTTTCACAATAAAAGCTTCCTAGTTTTGGTGCAGAGCAATTTTTACTGAACCTAAACTCAGTGGTTTTCCAGCAGTTAATGATTCAGCACCTTTAATGCCATAGTTTGTCTCTCACACTCACAGTCTGCAGCATCTGTGTTGCTTTCATTACTTTTATTACAGCTGTAAAACAAATATGGGATAAATACTGTATTTCTTAAATGATCTTAATAAAAAAAATCAGGTTGGCTGAAAAATGTAAATGATTTTTTCTCCAAATTCTGATTAAAGATGCACGACTGCTGCTCTCTGTGAGTCTGGACAGTGTTGACCGACCTCTCCTCCACCTCTCCCTGTGTTTTTGTGTGTCTGTTGTGTTAGCTCAAAAACCTTCGCTCCTTCCCTTCCTTTGCTGTGTTACCTTATCTCCTTTGTAGATAGTGAGTGTTTTTGGGCCGCTTAGCGGCGTGTCGCCGGGACTACCCCTGGGTCCGGGAAGACCCACGTCACACTAGAGTCCGAAATACACACGAAACACACTGTTAGCCAATCAGGAGACGCAAAGAGCAGAGGAGGGGAATGAAGGAAGGAAGGAGAGAAGGTGAGAGGAAAAGGAGAGAATGGGAGGATTATTTTACTGAAGCAAAGGTGAGAAAATAGCATCAGCACCTTGAAAAATCACATTAAATTATATTCACTGAACAGAGCAGATCTGGACTCTCAGTACAGTGTGAAGCAGAGTAGCATCAGAGCTGATCAGATGCAACTAATGACCCTCGGTTTTCTTTTTTCAAAGTTAATCTAACCTGCTGTTATGCATATAAATGTGCACACAGTCGATAAGGGACATCAGATCTTTTTAAAGCTTTGTACTTCTTTAGGCGAGAAGGTGACACCTGCACACTCTGTACACTGCACAACATGAGGTGTATCACTCCTCCCGTTTTCCACCTGGAGACAGCGTTTACACTACTACTACTACTACATTTCTGTAGTCTATTGATACTAGATAGTGGAAAAGGGGTGGGATTAAATAAGCTTATGCTTCTTCCCGCTCCTTTTTGAACATGAACGTTATTTGGAGTTGTGGTTGCTCATTTTCCTTTTGTTTTGCTTTGTTCATTTGTCTCTTTTTATTCTATTTTGTTGTACTTTTTCAACATGTTCAAAATAAAGATTCAATCAATCAATCAATCAATCAAACACTAATGATTACATGCAGTATTCTACCATATGCAAACTTATATCATTAAAAGATTATACTGACTACTAAGTACAATTTTCTATTGACAATGTTTATGCATGTAGGATTAGTATGGTTAATGCATTTTCTGTTTGTGTGTGTTTTATGTACCTCTCTCATCATATTTTCATTATTCTCATCACTGCTTAAAACAACACACATCTCTCTCTCTGTTGCTTTTTTGAACTCTCTTCAAAACTAGGGCTGAACGATATATCGCATTTGCGATAATATCGCGACATGATCAAGTGCAATTTTCTAACCGCAAAGGCTGCGATTATACTCTGGACATGTCCAAATTCATGGGCTGCATCCTCCTGAGGCCGCATTTGTAGACCGATTACGTCACAGCGACGCGCCGAAGGCTGTCCAAATTACTACCATATCCCAGAATTCATAGCGCGGCCCAGCCAAACTCCAGTTTCCAGCAATGGCGGCCGCTACTAAGTTTTAAAATTACTCATACTAATCTTTCAGGGTCACAAAATAAACTTTTAACATATTTTCAGGCGAGAAAGTAGTTGTGTAAACATCAAATATCTGCTCGGTTTATCAAGATATCCCATATTTGCAAAAGTGCTTCGACGTTTTCAGAGGCGTCTGCTACCCACCAGCTCGACAGCTAGCCGGGAGCTCGAGGGTTACTGATGCGGCCGAGAACGGCACAACTCCCGGCACATCATTTTCAGATCACCGCGGAGTTTCGCTGCTCGGGTTAAACGTAATATATAAGTCACTTAGACAACCTAAAAATGTTATTGTTGGGCTTTTTTCAGTGTTTTGTTTGTTCGTGAGTAAATCGGTTTGGCTGAGATTAAAGTTATTAGATTAGATAAAATAAAACTTTATTAATCCCCCGGGTGGGTTCCTCCTTGGTTTTCACACAGCTGACTAAACGTCAAACAGAAAACTTATTAAACAGAAGTATGAGACAGTCGAGAATTTACAAATCAAATCAAATCAAATCACTTTTTATTGTCACATCACATGTGCAGGCACACTGGCACAGCACATGCGAGTGAAATTCTTGTGTGCGAGCCCCACAAGCAACAGAGATGTGCAAACACAACAACACAAACGAGCAGAATACAAGAATGGCCAACCTGAAACTAATAAATATATGTACAATATATAATAGTGTATGCATTTCTGGATGTGTATACTAAATATTTTCCTACGTGTGTGTGTGTGTGTATGTGTGTGTGTGTATACACATTTTTACAAATTAAATAGTAAAAAAATAAATAAATAAATAAATAATAATAATAATAATAATAATAAAATATATAAAATATACAGAGTTGAATATGTGCAAAACAAGTGGCATTTATATACAGTGTGGAGTGCATAATGTTGAAGTTCCAGTAGTGAAGCTGAGGTGTCTATGACGTGTTCAGCAGTCTGATGGCCTGATGGAAGAAGCTGTCTCTCAGTCTGCTGGTACGGGACCGGATGCTGCAGATCCTCCTTTCTGATGGAAGTAGTCTGAACAGTTTATGGCTGGGGTGACTGGAGTCCTTGATGATCCTCCCCGCTTTCCTCAGGCACCGCTTCCTGTAGATGTCTTGGAGGGAGGGAAGCTCACCTCCAATTATCCGTTCAGAGCACCGCACTACTCGCTGGAGAGCTTTGCAGTTGTAGGCGGTGCTGTTGCCATACCAGGTGGTGATGCATCCAGTGAGGATGCTCTCAATGGCACAGTGATAGAAGGTCCTGAGGATGCGGGGGCTCATGCCGAATCTTTTCAGTCTCCTGAGAAAGAAGAGGCGCTGCTGCGCCTTCTTCACTGTTTTGTTTGTGTGTACTGACCACGTAAGATCCTCAGCCAGGTGTACGCCAAGGAACCGGAAGCTGCTCACTCTCTCCACAGCAGCGCCGTTGATGGTGATGGGGGTGTGTACTTCTCTGCACCTCCGGAAGTCCACACACCAGTGTCTGGTTATATTTTAGATAGCAAGAAGCAGACGGCCGAGTTTATTAAACTCCACCGAGACAGCGGTGACGCTAATCAGAACTAGACCGTCCAATTTCACGCCTTTAAATTTTAAAGGCGTGTTTGTGTGTGTGTTTATACAATTGCTATTATGTTTGCACTTTATGTGTAATGTTACTGACTGCAGAGATCAGTAAGATGTGTGTATTTTTTATTTATTAGTTTTATTTATTTAATATTATTTTTTAATTGAATGACTGTCTAGTAGTTCACAGATGTCGAAAAACTGAGTGTGGTAAAGCCACTGATTTTGTTTATGTATATTTCTGCAATCTGCACATTGTACTGACTTTCATTTTAATGTTTACACCAGGGTTCCTTGTCAGCACTTTATGCTCAGATGTTTGTAAGCTAAAAATAAACTATTGTGTATGTTCAAATATACTGTTGTGATTGAAGAAGTTAAATAAAAATGTCAGTCATCAATTCATGCATCACCTCATGTCATCATAACAGAGGTCTGTCTTCCAGGAAAGAACAGTTTAAAATTAATGTAATATAGTATTGGCCATACTATATGATGTATTGCTTGTCTTTGTTTAATAATACAGAAGACAAAGACCTTAAAAAATAATCGCATATCGCATCGCAATATTGGGGCAAAAAATCGCAATTAGATTATTTTCCTTTTTTTTTTTTCTTTTTTTTTTTCTAAATGACATCAGAAACAGCAGTATGTGACATTACGTGATGGCAGAGCTTCAGTTCATCCTTTGTCATTTTTTTTTTTTTTTTTTTTTAATAAATAGGACAGGGGGAATGAATGAGAGAAAGAGGGGGAGAGAAAGAAAGAAAACCAAAGGGGAGAAGAGACGGTGAGAAGGGGGGGGGGGAAGAGAGAGAAAAAAAAAAAGAACTCCTGGGTCACCTGTATGGAGAAAAAAAAAACAAACAAACAAAAAAAACAAACAGAGGAGACAGCAAACAACAAAGAGCAACATAATAATAGAGAAAACAAAGCACCATCACAATAAACTAGCTAGTCATAGATATCAATATTTACTAAATAATAAACGATATTGTGCAGCACGCAAGATAGACAGCGCACAGTGTGCTTTGAGGCAGCAGCCAAGAAAGCTTTAGTCCGCGTCTGTGAATACCCATGTGTGCATACCTGTGTGGATCAGCATGCTTGCATTCCAAAGGTTTCTCCATGTAATGATCTGCTAGAGGGTGTGGGGGGGCCACAGCCCCGTCCTCCAGGGTGTGAAGCAGGTATGGAGGAGATCAAAACTCCAGACATCCAGAGGCCCCAGAACACAAGAGACCATGGAAGACCAACAGAGGGGCAGCCGCGCCACTGTTCCAGTAAGAGCTGAGGAGAGTCCCAGATGAGGGCTCGCCCAGCAGCCGCGGAGCAGAAGCCAGGGGGAGTTGCAGTGACGCGCCCGTGAGCTCCGCCGGCCCCCAGCTGTGCCTGAGTGACCGAGCCCCAGGCCGAGAGGCCGGGGGCACCCCACCTCCAAAGGGGCCCGAGCGAGCCCCAGGCCCCAGGCCCCGACAAGCAGCCGCCAAGGAGTGAGCCGGTGTGTACCCGGACGCCCACCCCCAGATACAAAGAACCACCAACACACCGACACCTGAGGGAGTCCGCCACCGGCAGGGGAAGTGGTGGTGGGTGGAGATAGGCCTCCAAACCTTGGAGGGCCTGAGGTGTCCCCAGAGAGGTGGCGTCTGATACCCAACCTGACATATAGACACAGACATACAGGCACACACAGATACAAACATCCATTCCCACCCTCATGCTCTCATATGCACTTACTCCACACTCAACCAACGTGGAGACAGACATAAAGAGACGCTGTACACACAATCACACTCCCCAAGCGTACTCTACAAACCGGGTCTAGGTACCCTTGTCCCTGGAGGGGGGAACTGCACCCAGACCCAGGTGGTGTTACCCTTTTCCCTGCAGTGGGGAGAGGCAGACCACCCCGACTCCGCAGCAGCAGGGAGGCCCCACACCCCAGACCGCAGTCGAACGGCCAACTCCTCCTACTAGCCCTCCCGCTCCAGCAGGCCACAGAGAATGGGGGTGGGAGAAGACTCCAAACCTCCCTCCACCCGCTCATTGTAGTGTTGATGCATATGTGTTCTAAGGTGCAATTAAAACCCAGGAGGGCATGGAGCTACCTGCCATGGAGCAGCAGGTAAGCGCATAGTCCCTCCTGCTAGCCCTCAATGACTAATTAGATTATTTTCCATAATCGTTCAGCCCTATTCAAAACAGAAAGCATTACAGCTGTTTCAGGCTGAGAAACACCAAACACTCTTCATGTTATCATTCATATTTCATCAACACAGCCATTTTATTTCTCGTGTCCACCCATGGCTCAAACCTTCACATGGGATGTGCTTGTGATAAAACACTACAGCCTCCCCCCAGAACCTCGAGAGGCTGGGGAGGGGGACAAAGGAATGTCTTGATCCTATAGTTTGAACTAAGACTTTACAAATTTAAGAAACACAATGGCAATATTCAACAATTAGACTTAACAGAATGCAAGGCAAGTTTACACTATAGCATTTTGATAGAAAATAAAGGAATTTGGCACATTGTTCACCAACCTTGATGCCTTTTGTCTTGAAACAATAAGTATTACATGTTTATTTACATATACATATAAGCCATTATTTGTTTTTCCTGCTGCTCGGTGGTTGAGATTTGAGTGTAACATTGTTGCAGTGAGTCTGAATTTGGTCACTAACAGGGGCTCAAAGACCAAGTCTTAGTGCTGGTGTATAAGGTAAATTGGTCCTACCACCAACAACACACTTAAAGAGCATGTTTTTGTACGTCAAAGTTTTGGCTTTCACTCAAAGCTTTCCCAGACAGTTTTTATAGAAGTAGATCTTTTCAGATTCCATTTGTTTCCTTTGTTTTGGCAAGAGAGAAAAAACTATTGTGGAAGGACCAGAGGCAAATCACTCAAATTGTGATTCATCTTCTGCACATGTGGTGAGGTTTCATATTGATGATCTTCCGAAACAATCCAGCCTCATTTTTATATATTTTATAAATATTTTTCTCAGTAATATAGATATTTTTGACATGATGTTGCCTGCACTCTGAATCAGTGAGGACTGGCTTCTTCATTTTTTTTTCTCTTTTCTTACTACCGATTACATCCTTCAGGAAGGTTTTCAGGTTTCATCAATCTCGCAAAAGTTTTAATAGCAAGGTGACGTAAAGTGTTTCCATAGATAAGTGTTTTGTGTGTAGAGAATAAACAGTGATGTATGAATATCAGTCAAGTTTGCATTTACCAACTGATATGTTGTATCATGCAGTTTTCTAAATCCACAAAAAGAAATAAACCCTAGAGCAGCAGCAGCTGCTATAGCACAGGTCAGCTGATCAGACAGTCCAAATTTAAGTATCCTGGACCCTAATGGGTCATTAATTCCCCATAGTAGCTCCACATGAGGACAAAAATCAATGACAGTTCATTGGGAAGCCCGTCAGCAGTCATACTAGCAGTCTGGTTTGCCAGAGGTAATCCACACATGGGCCAGTTGCAGACACACTGGTAGTCCTGTGCTGGCCCATGTGTGGATTACCTCTGGCAAACCTGATCTGGGCCACCAAAGGGTATGTGGGCCATCTGTAGGTGGCGTGCAGCCACGGGCCAGTTGCAGACACACTGCTGGCCCAGAACAGTTTCAGCTCTGGCCCCATATGTCAGCCTAATATGTACCTTAATCAAGCCATGTAATAACAAGATGTGCCAGAACGTGCAAAACAGTGCAAAAGTAACATGACGAAACTGTTCAGACTGTGAATGGCCTGACTCTTATGTAGCACTTTTCTAGTCTCCTGGATTACTGAAAATGCTCTATAAATTATGCCACATTCACCCAATCATGCTAAACTAAGTGCTTCCTAACTACATTCACACACATTCACACTCTTGACATGCAGACTGGAGGAGTCAGGGAACCACTAACCTTTCCATCAGTAGGTGACCTGCTCTACCTCCTGAGCTACAGCCACACAGTGGTAAACATGAGTAAACCCTCACTAGGTTTGTGTACACTCACAAACCTGTCAAACCTGCAAACATTGGCTACCATAGCAGTACAGTATTGCAACATGGCATTTGGGTCTTCTAACTAAAATAGGAACATAAAACAGTACCATCATTGCCAGACCTGGTGCACATCTGGTTGACATACACCCTGCCATGACACCGGTCAGTCAGAAGTGCCAGATTGATGCCAGATCCAGGCCAGACCTGTTTTTCTATGAGCCTGGCCCACACAAACCAAACCACAATCGTGCCAGATATGGCATGCCATCACACAGACAGTGCCATCTATGCCAGGCCTGGCCCATATCTAGATGACATACGTCTTATCATGCCAGAGGTCAGCCAGCAGTGCCGGCTTGATACCAGATCCAGGCCAGACCTCCTGGCTATGTGGGAAGAAGGGGTCTCAAATTGCAGCCAAGGCCCACTCTCAGCCCACATCACCCCTACTTGCCTGTATATTGGCATGAAGAAATATAACTCAATTTGGCCCTTGAATTTCCTTTTTTGTAGGGGGGATTTGTTTGTTGTTGAGTGCAATGTTAACATAAGTTCTTTAAAAAGCAAAAAATTATTTCATATAAAAGCAATATGAGCAGAGAGCACACAAATGTTGAGGGATTGGCTGTGTTAGTTCAGTGAGAGTTATTTTTAAAGAAAACAATTTTCACTAGCAGTCAAAAAATAATGTGTACACTTATGTCTGCATTTTTATTTGGTTATATGCAAATGAAATGGTAGGGTTCACAAAATGGTGAATTCTTATTTGGAGGGAGGCTCCATGATAGAGCACTGTGGGACTAAATATTAACAGTGTTAACAGAGGGACTGCATGTAGACTGAGGAATATTTATTATGAATTATTATAGTAATAATTAATTACTCAGACTAGAGCAGGGCGATATGACCAAAAATATTTATCATGATATACATTTGAAAATTTGCGATAACGATATAAGAGACGTTAGACAAAATACTTATAAGTCCACAACTTTATTAGTGCAAAAAACCCCAAAGAAACATCAATGTATTTTCACTTAAACAAGCAGCTTTTTTTTATGTGCATTAAACTGTTATTTAACAGTAATTCGCGATACTTCATTTTCTTATCTTTGTCCAACATTATACCGGTATTATCGTGAACGGTATGATATGCCCCAGCCCTAACTCAGACATTCATTGAATAGTTTATTTAATGCAGTATTGTATGTATAAATAGAGATGCCATTGGATAAAATGTAAAATAAACATAGGATTAACGGAATGTATCAGAAATGTCAACTTGAAGATTAAGTGAACGGAATAAAATTGATATTAATATGAATTTCCTTTGCTGCATCCTCATCAGAGATATTGTTTTAGATACTGAAAATATGCAACAGTAATATATTTAACCGGTGGTGGTCACTGACGAGCGCAGGAGCAGGAAGGTCCACGCATCTTTGTTGGGTACTTCCACCAGCATCCAGCTCACAAGGCCGACACTTCAAATCTTCTCCACTTCACTCACTGGAAACAAAACTTCTCCAGCCTGGCATTCCAAATTCCTCCACTGCTGACAGCTACTTGCGTTTCTTGTGTTGGCTGCAGAGAACAGGGAACATAAATGGAAATAACTATCTGAATTTCAAGAGCGGATTCACAACGTCATACACGCTCCATATATGACAATTACCCCAACCACAACCATGGAATTCCACGCTGCTCTTCTTGTTTTCGTCCCCCACCTATCTGGTCATGAGGCCTCAGTCAAAGTCACTCTCATCTGAATTCTACTTCAACTATAAGTTACACTAGTCCATAAACAATCACACTGAGGACACATTACTGTAGTGCAAGCTCAGCTTATGGCACAGTTTAGCAACAATCCAAATTATCTGATAAACCCACCAGGAAAACCAGTCATGGAACAAGAAATGGATGTGTTGAGCATATTGTGCGCTCACAGTTAATTGGCCTCCTGTTTGTCTCTTGCTTTGCCTCTGCAGTCTAAAGGCCTTTACACACCAGAGCCGTAACTTTTCTGAGAATATTAAAAAATATTTTCCACTTAATTTCACAGGACCAATAAACTCAGTGACATGGAAGGACTAAAGTATAGAAAGTTAAATCATTACAACACACACATAAAAAAAAAAAATCACAAAAAGACAAACACAAAATGTCAGGTCAAATGACCCAGAACCATGACAACTAAGAAAAGGATAAACGCAGAATAAACAAAATTGAATGGATATTAATATTAATGTCTTATAGTAAACTTCATAAAACAAATTCACAAGTTTTTTTTAGATGTAGCTAAACCAGAAATATATTTAACAGGTGACAGTCACTAGTGAGCAGAGGAGCAGGAAGATCCACGCATCTGTGTTTGGTCATTACACTTGTTGCAGTGCATTCAGCCCACAAGGCTGACAATCCAAAGCTCTTCCACCACTGCACACACAAACACACACCTCCATACACCATACGTATTTTTAAAAGGATATAGGGCAGGGGTCCCCAATCCCAGTCCACGAGGGCCGGAGTCTCTGCAGGTTTTAGATGTGTCCTTGATCCATCACAGCTAATTTAAATGGATAAATTACCTCCTCAACATGTCTTAAAGTTCTCCAGAGGCCTGGTAATGAGCTAATCATTTGCTTCAGGTGTGTTGACCCAGGGTGAGAGCTAAAACCTGCAGGGACACCGGTCTATGTATCACTCTAACAATCTGTCATACTGGTCTAATGCCAAACCCAGCTCTAAAAACAGAGGAATGGCTACTTACTGATGCTGGTGGTGAGGTTTCCAATACCGCCTTCACTGCTCGACCTTCAGACTCACCCGATACCCCCTCCATATCTTTCCGTCTTCATCTTGGATGTAACAGAAATAATCCCCCTGATCTTCTGTCTTAACCTGATGCAGTTCTAAGAAAAAAATTCTACCACGGAACCCAGAGAGTCGGCCATCAGCAGGTCCATTATGGCCGTCTCCGTAATTCTGCTTATACACAACCTTCTTGTCCTTCACCCACCATACAGTCTCCATGGTTGGTAGAATGGGACATGGCATTAGTGCATTTTTTCCTTCCTTCACAGTTACATTAAAGGGACCCAGAACGTTAACGTGGCTTCCTCCAGCAAGGTGGCCTCCGTGCACATCCCAGTGCCGCTCAGACCAGAGCTTTCCCAAAACAGCTTCAGGATCTGTAGACAAAAGGCCAAGACATTTAACAGGTTAGGCAGTTAGCTCGCTAGTTTCCACCTAAACATGACATACCATGTTCTGACTTAGAGATTTTTGAAACTAATTAAAACGTACAGCTCTGCTACCACTTCCAACATAAATGAAGACAGAAAACTAAACAGCAGTGATGATTGCAGGGTTACAGAAGTTGGACTACCTGGTATATAATGTTGTGCTACGTGATTGCTAGTGACCCAGCTATGTTAGCATAACATTAGCACAGTGAAGCTGGAGGATGAACGCCAACTTTTTTCCACTCGATAAAAGTTAACGTGAGGGATTCTGGTGGTCAGGGACAAATGCAATCGCATAGCAGGATCCTATAAACGGGTCAAACTTCAGTCAGGAGAACAACTGAGATTATTCATCCACAATACAAGGTTAGCTATTAATATACTGCAACAACATGGGAACAGAACAGCTGCGAGAGAATTCAACATTAATGAATCAATGTTACGGAAGTGGAGGAAGCGCAGTTTTTGCTTTCCCCATATTTCAAAAGTGCTTCATCTCTTTGCTATGACTGTCGTTGGGCATAATTTGCAGATGATAATGGTTGTAGCCGCTGCGATGCTTTCGACCAATGACTGTATGATGGACGATGCGACACCGCCTCCTCCCATTGTGCAAAAATTAAGCCAAAATATCCTTGTGGAGGCTGCCATCTTGCATTTTTGGAGCCAGAGTCTGCGCAGTAGTGACTTGAGGTGGAGCGACTGTGTAACGCTCCTGCCCACACACCCGCTGGACATGACCGCAAACACGCCCCTCTACACTTTTTACGTAGCCCGGCTGCTCTAGTTTTTTGCTGGTTTACGACTGACGACTCGTTAAATTAAGGTAAACACATCCATGTCACTGTTATTAAAAAAAGAAACACAGTTTATCATCTTATAGTTCTAAAATCACTCTGTTGTTAATTCGTTCGCAAGATTAGCCGCCAGCATACGCACTGTGTTGGAGGCTTGTTGCTAGCTAGTTAGCGATGCTACACACCTGTTACTCTAATAGTCTGTGTTATTGAAGGATTCAGCACTTCTTATGGGTTTTTTTTTAATCCATTTTTAGACAGCGATGAGATCATCTGCACACTCTACAGAGGCCCAGAGTTACTGTTAATATCAAAAATATAATGCTGTCCTTTGAGATTTTAACATTTAAGACTGTGAGTGTAATGGATCTAAAACTGTTTAAATCTTCAGAGCCCTCTACAGCCTGGTAACATGGAAACTTTAAAAACATCAGCAGAAGGTTTCAGTAGTGTAATTTGTTCTTTTCATTTAATAATAGAGTCCATATTATATCAACAGCTACATTCACCCTGGGGAGAAACTAGTGAGGGAGACCATCAGGACCAAGCTGGGTTTCCTGGCTCCAGAGGTTTGGAGAAACTTCTTCCCTTTCTTTCATCACAGCTGTCCTGTGCCAGAAGTTCTGTTGACCCGCTGTAAGAGGCTTCATTTAAGAAACACCAGGAAGACTGAAGCTCATGGCATCGATAAATCAGAATACTTTATTGATCCCTGGGCGAAATTATTTTTTGTTACAGTGCTCCATTATAAACCAACATTAACAAGACAGACAATACGCTAACTAAGAATAGTACTATATATATACATATATATATATATATACATATATATATATATATATACATACATACTAGGGGTGCAACGATATTCGTATTGATATTGAACCGTTCGATACAGTGCTTTCGGTTCGGTACGCATATGTATCGAACAATACAACATTTGTAATTTATTTTATCAACTTTCCTTCTGACGATGCTGTCTGTGTTGAGCACTCAGTGAATCTGCGTTCGACTACTCCACCTAGGCTGCACTGTCGAGCGCAGATCCACTGAGTGCTCAACACAGACAGCATCGTCAGAAGGAAGAGCGCAGGGCACCTCCCCCACCCTCATTCAGATCTGGCGTTTGGAATTATTTTGGTTTTCATGTGACGTATGACCCTGAAGGTAAGCGAGTCATGGACTAAAGTAAAACAGTATGTTGGATGTGCCATGCAATGCTCAATTACATGGGTGGGAACTAGTGTGTTAGCGCAGTTAGCTCGTTAACGTGTTGGCCGTCTAGCCCCATGCACGGAGCGATCGGCGGTAGCTCGTTAACGGAGATTTGCCGTGTTGTGGCGTTAAGGTCATTTCAACGAGATTAACCTGAAAGCACTAGTGGGAACACAACGAATATGACTGCACATTTACGCCGACATCATCCTAGTGCAAAGACCAAAACAACAAGCATGCTACTAACTTTAGCCGAGTCATTTAGACAGCTGTTAGCACATGATTCTCCTTATGCTGCTGAGAATATAGCCCAGAAGAAGCGGATAGTATAGCTTTTATTTTGGAAAGAGACATTTCTCTGTAATAAACTCTCTTTTCCAAAGATGAGTGATTCCTCAATCAGATACAGGGCTCGCAATATCGCTAGCCCGACGTCCCGGAGCTAGCGATTTTTTTCAGACGGGCTACCAAAATCTATCTCTTCCCTGCCCGTCGGGCTATTGTAGGAAGGAAAAATATATGTCAATGCTTTTGCATTCTTTCAGAAATGTAGCTGGGTAATTATGTCATTGGGTGAGCCACTGTCAATATGTGACATATTGAAATCGCGTTTGAATTTGCGCTTGTTTTTTGCTTTCACTTTGCAATTGCGAACTGTGTATAGAGAGCGACAGCACTGATCTGTGAGTGATGATAATTTGTGCACCAATTCCTCTGACATCGTCTTATTAATCGTTAGCTTACTATGCAAACATGACAAGTGAAATCTCCCGCAGCTTAAACATGTGAGAGGTTGATCGCGCAGAGAATCGCTGAGCTTATGTGAGTCCGTGTGTAAAAGCAGCAGGATATATATTTGACTACGATGACCTGGATGACTGAGAACCTTCACAGACAGATTTATATTTTAGTTCTGCTGAGCCAAATAAGACAGGTCAGGGTGAAGAAGTGACAGCCAAAGAAAAGCTTACCACAAAACGGAGAAGTTATGACAAATCAGACTATAAGGCAAAAAGAAAGTGCAGCTTTATGGTTTCATGGACAAAAGAATTTCTGTGGCTGCAATATGACGAGCTAAATAACCAGGGCTGCACATAAGTGGTCCGCAGGTGCGCATTCGCTATCAAAATAAAAAACACGCACAAGGGTTAGGGTTAAATTTAAAAACTGTACTTTTGAGTTAAAATATATATTTATAATTTTAATAAATGACAAATTAAAAAGGCATGAACATTTCTTTTGTATCGAAAAAATATCGAACCGTGACACCAAAGTATCGAACCGAACCGTGAATTTTGTGTATCGTTGCACCCCTAATACATACATATATATTCCTGCTGTGACAAAACAAATTTCCCACGTGTGGGACTAATAAAGGTTATCTTATCTTATCTTATCTTATATATACACATATATATATATATATATATACACACACACAGTAACCAGTGTGTTAAGTGGATGCGTTGTACAGGGAGATAGCCACAGGCCATACAAGCTCTTCTCTTACATTTTTTTCAGTATTACAGTACACTACAGTACTTTAATCCATAGTTCCTGATTAATGAGGAGCTACTGAAAAATGATGTTATTGTCTTTACAGATGTGGCAAGAGACTGAAAACTGTCAAAACTGTTATGATGACGTTTCACCCCAATTTAACATCACCGCGGTAGGAATTAGAATCAATCCAGGAGACCCCTTGGACATCAACCAGCATGATCAGAACTATTGAAAACAAAAGAAAGAATCTTTGGAAAAAAAATCATCTGAGGAGAATTAATTTATTTTAGTCTGACCCCAGTCCCTTTGTTAACATGGAGGAGACGGGGTTTATGACCTATACTGCAGCCAGACACCAGGGGGCGATAGAGACGCCTTGGCTTCATTTTTGGGGCGCTGTCGCGTCGTCCATCTTTTATACAGTCATTGCTTTCGACCAAAACGGGCGCAGCTTGATGACATCAACAACATGCGCTATCGCGATAGAGCGGCAGTGGCGTGTTTAGAAAATTTTTGTTGGGGGGGCCAGGTAGGGGCACAGATTTGGAGAAGGGTGGCAGATGTAATTGGCAGATAATGTTAAAAAAAAAATCTACCAACCATTAACCATAATTCAATAACCCTATAAACCTAATAACCGAATGCACTTTTAACTCTTATTAGAATGAGATTTTAACCACTACTGTGCAAAGTTTTTAGATACTGCGTTGATAAAGTACAAGAGATACAATCAGTGCTTTGTCAGTGTTTATTCAGCATTCAAGGACGGCAATATTTGCATAGTATTTTTACTGACATATAGTGCACATATGTTTTGGGCAAAAACATTTTTGAATATTAAAATATGAACATTTTTAGCCAATGCCAATGTAAAACTTTATCTGCCTGTTAAAAAAAGAAGATAATCTTCTCACAAACTGGTGTTTGATTTTGAAACAGGAAAAAAGTGGGGAAACAACTGAAAAGACTAACATTTGAATAAAACCTGAAAGCAAGTAAATACTTTCTATGCTGCCCTATGATAAACTTTGGTAATATTGATAAAGAACAACACTGGCTGATGATGAAATGCAGTCAGCTGGCATGGTAACACTGCCAGTATTAACTTGCAGGGCTGGACTGGGACAAAAAATTGGCTATAAAGCCATAAAGCCTTTGAATGAAAACAAATGCTGTTGTGACAGTGATGTACACTGTCTGCGTGATTTCTTTACATTTTACGTCAGATAAAAACTTTGTTTGCAAGATTCAGATAATTATTTAATAAAAGCTAGATATTTTAAATGAGAATAAGAAAGAAAAGTATTTCTTTGTGGCCCCCTCTCTCTGTTAATGCCCTACCTGGCCCCCTGGCATAACTTTGCTAGACCCACCCCTGCACAGTTACCAGCTGTCAGCTACTTAGAAAAAGATCCTGGTGTTATTTGTCTCTCAGAACCTGTTTCTCCATCACCTGTTCAGATGATTCATGGACATTCAGGACATCTCCTGGTTTCATCTTCATGTTTCCCTCTCACCACATATCCAAACCGATATCATGACCAGCAGCTGTTACAGCTGTGGCTCCAGCAAACATCAGCTGATACTAGAAATTAATATTAAATAAATTCTAACAACAGCTGATCAAGCTTAAACGTGCTGCTGTTGTGACATCTGCTGGTTTCCTGTTTCTGGCGCAAAGTGAGCGATAAATAAACAAGAGAGAAAAGCCGATCAGCTGATCATTGATCAGTTTCATGATTGAAGTAGCAACAGGAGAGGGAGGGGGAGAGAATGAGAGGAGAAGAAGCAGCTGTGCAGCGTAACGACAGAATAAATCCAGCTTTGTGTCTTTTTTTCATTCTAGCTGAAGTTCGGGACAAACTGCGTCTCTTCTCAGCTCAATACAAAACACGTAATAATTTCTCTGAATGAGGGACCATTCCATTTTTTTAAGGAGCTGTTGGCAACTCTACTAACCTTATGAATAAAATAAAGTTCACCATCAGTAACATCATAGCACCCACCCAGCTGTATAGAAACTCCGTCATGCTAGCTAGTACGCAGTATGGATTAATGTAACTGACTGTAAAAAGTCAGCACAACGAAAATAAACTCCACCTAAACTTGGTTTATATCTGACCCAGATAGACTGCAGGTCATAACTTCTTACCTGAAGTTCAGTTCACCTGACACTCGGACCGGCAGCTGCTTCGGGTCTCTCCTCCTGCCTCACTTTCCCTCATCCACCTGTTGCCTCTGTGGAAGCCCCGCCATAGCCACCACCAAAAAACAGTTATTTTTACACATCGGCCAGCATCTGGCCAATCTGCCACCTCTCATTGTTCATGCCATTACAAAATAAATAAATAATTAAGTCATCACCGCAGAAAAATTGTTTTCTGCGGTGCCGTCTTTCGTGATTGGCTCTCCTACCTTTGCTAACGTGATGCTCACTAGTGATGTGCGGATCGATCCTGAAATATCGATTCCTCCGATACCAGTCATTTATGTTCTAGAATCGATTCTCACATTAAAATATTGATATTTTAGTAATTTAGGGTAAATTTGCAGTTTATCATTAACAGGAACACAGTGGAAAGAAACTATAACATTCGGATTGTCTACATTCAAAGGAACTACTTCCTCTTCCGCCTTTCATAGTCATGTGCGAAATACTGGCGTGCGCACTCACAACAATGGCTGAGCGTAATTGGAGTAATGTGCGGACTTATTTTACCTCCACAAACAGCTGAGACGTGGTTTGCGATACATGTGGCAAAAAAGTGAGGTGTTGTGGCCATACTTGCCAACCTTGAGACCTCAGAATTAGGGAGGCTTTCAAAAGGGCTGTTGGGGGGATGATAAATACATTTTACAGTGTTTATTTATCGGATGAAATACGTTAAATGTCACCGTTATTATTGGCCGGCCTGGAAACAGCGGGGGTGTCCAAATTCAGAGGCTGCTTCCACCTGAGGACCCAGCCTTCGTGGTCTAAAGAAAGCCGGGTAGTACGTCACGAGCTCCCTCGGTGGAGTGAAACTCTGTTGTCTGTTCCTTGCTATCTAAAATATAACAGGGTGCTGGTGTAAACTCTCGACCGTTTCGCACTTTCTTTAATTAGTTTTCTGTTTGACGTTTATTCAGCTGTGTGAAAACCCCGGAGGAACCCACCCGAGGGATTAATAAAGTTAAATTTAATCTAATCTAATCTAATAACTTCTCAGCCAAACCGATTTACTCACAAACAAATAAAACACTGAAAAAGCAAAACAATAACATTTTTAAGCTATCAAAGTGACTTATATATCATGTTTAACCCGAGTAGTGAAAGACCGCGGGGGTTTGAAGATGATGTGTCGATCGGCTCAGATATTTGAAGTTTACACAGCTACATTCTCACCTGAAAATATGTTAAAGGTTTTTTTGCGACCCAGAAAGAGAAATAAGAGTAATATTAAAACTAAGTAGCTGCTGCCATTGTTGGAAACTGGAATTGGCTGGGCCGCGCTATGAATTCTGGGATATGGTTTTTCAATTTTGTTGTCCGGGTGGAAAATCGGGAGAATGGTGGCTCCGGGATTCTCCCTGATGTTGCCACAAATGTATGGTTATGGCAACATCACTAACCTTGTCAAACACCTTAGAGTAAACCATATCACAGAATATGATGAGCGTATGTTGAGGCGAACTGAAGAGGAGAACAGGGACAGGTGCTGCTAGGGCGAGACACACGTCTCTCACGGAGTCCTTTAGTCCTGCAGGCAGGCAAGGTGTTCAAATAGCGCACAACTTCATTTTTTTTTATTTCTATATGATGAACTCTGCATTATTAAGTGATAAGAACAAGTAATCTGGTTTCCTGTAATCATTATGACGCTATAATTTGAGATACAATTAGGGCTGCCACAAATGATTATTTTGATAGTCGACTAGTCACCGATTATTTATGCGATTAGTCGACTAATCAGATCATCATCCACTGGACGTAAAACTACAGCTTATTGCACCAGCAGCATCTGCTCTTCTATAACTATCATTAGCTTACAGCTTGAAGTGTTTGTGCTAACTAAAAATAAAGACAAGATGATAGTTTATTAAATTTTAATGAAATTTGCAGATTGTTTCGGTGAAGTTTAATAAACTCCTTGCTATCTAAAATATAACAGGACACCGGAGTACCAGCATCTCACACTTCTGATAATCAGCTGTCTGCTTGACGTTTATTCAGCTGTGTAAAAACTATAACTTTAATCTCAGACAAACTGATTTACTCAGGAACAAATAAAATACTAAAGAAAAAAAAGCCAAACAACAACATTTTTAAGTTATCTAAGTGACTCATATATATTTAACCTGAGTAGCGAAAGACGGCGGTGGGTTTGAAAACAATTTGCCGGGAGTCCGGTGTTCTCACGGCTCTAGTGACCTTGCCCCCGGCTAGCTATCGAGCTAGTGGGTAACAGATGTCTCCGAAAACGTCGGAGCGCTTTTGAAAACGTGGTGTCCTGATAAACTGAGCAGATATTTGAGGTTTACACAGCTACATTCTCGCCTGAAAATATGTTAAAAGTTTATTTTGTGACCCAGAAAGAATAATAAGAGTAATATTAAAACTAACTAGCTGCCGCCATTGTTGGAAACTAAGCTGGGCCACGCTATGAATTCTGGGACACAGCTGCTTCTTCTTCTTCGGGGTTTAACGGCAGCTGGCATCCTTGTACATGCAGTGCTGCCATCTTCTGTTTCAGTCCGTTATTACACTCTTAAATCCTGCCACTTATTCCTGCGTCTTTTGTGATCTTACAAAGCTTCAAACGACGCGTCGACTATTAAATCAGTCGTCGACGATTTTGATAGTCGACGTAATCGTGACTAGTCGACAAATCGTGGCAGCCCTAGATACAATAAATAAAATACGTTTTTGTACAAAGTTTCGGTATCGGATCAGTATCGTCGATACCACCCTGAATATAACTTGGGATCGGATCGGAAAGGAAATCAGTGGTATCACACATCACAACTGCTCACAGTGCAGAAGCCGATGCTGCATTCACTTACACTCGGATATCTGAGCTTCACTGTGAAAACATAATCGTGCATTTGATATTTGATTAAATTTTATTGTTTTAGCTTTGGGGTGGCACCTGGGGTGGCCAGTCTGGTTGGGGGGGTGGCCTGTGCCCCCCCAGGCCACCCCGCTGGACACACCAGTGTAGAGCGGTATAGTCAAAATCTCTATCTTTGGCCAAATTTATATCGTTTCTATCGTATATCGTTTATATCGCCCACCCCTACGTTCCACCAAAAGAACGGACCCCCCTGGGGACCACTATGTGGCCTGGTACAGGCTCGCCTGCACAGACAGAGGATAAAGTATCAGCTCAAAGTTCTGGCCTGGTGTCATTTTGTTCTAAAACAATCACACAATCTAAAGAGTACCTTTGAATCCTGGAGCTCCATCAGCTCCAAGCCGTCCTGACAAACCGGGGTTACCAGGGAAACCAGGATCTCCCTTAGGCCCAATGGAACCTTTAGGGCCCGGTGCACCCGTTAAACCAGGAGGACCAGGAAGTCCAAGACCAGGTTCACCCTGTCACACATATAACCAAAAAGAGCGTCAGGCACACAGGGAGGGACGAACAGTACAGTTTAGGACAGAACAAGAGGCATTTAATGAAAGCTATTAATGCATAACAAAAACTATGAGCCATAGTCATCACAAAAATGTGTTCAGTTAAATAAGGTTCATGGGGACATGTGTTGCTTAGAGAAAATTACTTAATATAAAAAAAGCTGTCATTTTCAAATTGTAAGGATTATTTTATCCTTGTTATTTTAACCTTCTACAGATAATAATGTTAGGAAAATTGGTATTCACAATTATCCATTAAATATATTAAAACATATATATACACACACCTTTGGTCCAGGAAATCCCAGCTCACCGGGACGTCCATCTATCCCTGGTCTTCCTGGTCCTCCAGGGGCTCCTGGTTGCCCGCCAACACCCGGGAATCCTGGAGGAGGAAAGAAGTGAGTGTGAGATGAAGAAGGTAACAATGACACAAAAACAGAGAGTATGTAGGGAAGTACTCAGAAGAAGTTGTTAAAGAGAAGAGAATGTAAATAGAAGTGGACAAAGGAAGACAAAACAGCAGAGGTAGAAAGAGCAAAGGAAGACAGATAGAGAACAGTTTATCGCTATCTTTGCCTTTTGGTCCTGGAGGTCCTGGCAGTCCAATGCCTGGGATTCCGGGTTCACCCTTCGCTCCCGATAAACCGGGAAAACCAGGCTGTCCAGGCTGACCTGGTATACCTAACAAAGGGAAATGACCAAATTAGGCAATCAGGCAGCATGTATGTTACTTTAGATACTGTGAATGGAAAGTATATTATTATACAACAAAATAGTGACTCGTGTACCTGGTGAACCAGGCTGCCCAGGCTCGCCATCCCGACCTCTTTCTCCTTTGGCCCCTTTCTCTGTCATTGTCTGACCAGGTTCACCCTTAGTTCCTTCATGATGACAAAATGCACAGATAAAAGGTTGGACGCTTTCAGTGAGCAGACAGCAGGAAAATTGGACAAGAAATGGATGTCAAATAGCCTGCGGGAAAAATCTATGTCCATTCTATTTTGCTATGTTTTCTTTAAGGTAACTTAAGTAAAATCATTTTCAAAGTTCAGTATCAAGACCTCTGCAGGAGATTTTAGGCAAGATATGAAATGGCCTGTATTTGTATAGCGCTTTACTAGTCCCTAAGGACCCCAAAGCGCTTTACACATCCAGTCATCCACCCATTCACACACACAATCGCCACCGGGCCCTCTGACCACCACCAGTAGGCAACAGGTGAAGTGTTTTCCCCAAGGACACAACGACCAAGTCTGGCAACCTTCCGATTACAAGGCGACCTCCCAACTCTTGAGCCACGATCGCTGGGGGAAAAAAACTTTTTGATGCAATGAACAGTACATTCCAACACAGGCTATAGCTTGACGATATACTGAGCTTTAAAAATTTATAGCTAGAACCTCAGAGATAAATAATGTGAAAATATAAATTAGATCAACATATAATTTTGCATATAATTAAACTTTGCTGTGTTGTGAGACACAGCACTGGTCTAATTTGGTAAGGTACAGTGGGGGAGAAAAGTATTTGATCCTCCTAGAAGTCAAACAGAATTCTGGCTCCTATGGTTGGGTGTGTGCGCATGTGCACACAGATTATGGTCAATAAATACGATACATCTGATCTGAGCTTATTTTGTGTATAAAGCACACCTGTCCACAGAATCTATTTTCCACTCCGACCTTTCCATCACCATGAGCAAAACGAAACGACCATCAAAGGACGAATGGGCTAAAGTGTTATATTAATTATTGGTGATTATTTGGAAATGGAGGAAATCAACCTCAGTCTGGAAAGAAAAGCGTCCAGACGCCTTTCTTTCCAAGCTCCTTAGACTCCTTAGACTCTGTGGAGGGAGCTGAAGGTTCAGGTTACCAAGTGGCAGCCAAGAGAGCTAAAGGATTTTTAATGCATAAAGAGGGTGGACGTGAGATGTGTGCAAACCCACTGACCAACGACAAGAAACATTTTGCAAGTGTTCAAACTAACAAGGATTTGTCCAGCAAGTACTACATCATGTAGTTACAACCTTGTATAGATGAATCTGCGCTTGGAGTAGATGTACTTTTGGAGTAAAATGCACATTTGAAGTTTTCTTCGGTGAATTGTCAGAAAAGGGGGGGGGGGCTGTTTCTGCTACTCTACACAAAGACATTAAAATGAAAAATCGGGAAATGTCCTAGAAATGTACCAAGGACACAATTTAGACTCAAAATGTATTTACATGAACTTTGAGGGCCTATAATAATCGCTCCCCGGATATGCTACAGCACAACACGTCAGGGGATTTTGTATATTATATTATGAATGACTAACTTGTATTTCATCACAATAGCTCTCATTGAATATCTATCTATATATATAAGGATAAACGTAAAATTATTTTTTTTACCTGGTGCACCAACAGGTCCCGGTCTTCCTGAGACACCCTGGACACCTTTCTCACGAGGTCCTGGATTTCCAAAGCCAGGAAGACCTGGGGGACCCCTGTCTCCTGGATTACCAGGGAAACCTGGTTCACCGGGGAGGCCTCTTTCTCCCCTCACCAACAAAACCTAAAAGAGGAATTATGGATTTGATCAACTGGTCCCTGAATGCAATTGACACCCTTTTCTCAACGAGAAGTCTATGCTTGGGTGAGCCTGTGCTGAAGATATCTACCTATTCGGAACCATGATAACAGGGTTCTTGCTGATCGGAGCTGGCTTGGCCCTGGCTTATCGAAGAATTAAGAAAGCGGAACCAGCTGTTCAAACCCCCACAAGGCTGCCCGCTGGGATTGAAACGATGGGACGAGGCGTGAGTTTCTCAAAATGGGCTCATTGAGTGCAGCACGGAGAAGATCTTGGAGAAGCTTACGGCTGCTGTGAATACTCAGAACAAGACCTCTGAGTGCAGACTGGATTACATCTGGAGGGGCTCGCTCGGAATAACACCTCTGATCGCAAATTGGATCACATCTTGAAGAAGCTCACTGTGGTCGTGAGTTCTCAGAATCGGCTCTTTGAGCACAAGAATGACAACATCACGGAGCGTAAGGTTGATAACATCATGGAGAAGCTCACGGCGTTCCAACGGGAGATTGAGAGACCAGTGTTGGACTGTTAGAACAGCTTTGAAATTCACACGAGTTGTACAGGTACTAAAGTAAAAACCATCATCACTTCATGCGGATACCCCCTCGGTGCCAGCTGTGGTCTCAAGGCTGGAGCCGAACAAAAACTCCCTGATAACGACTGTGTTTAGACTGTTCCTTCCCATTCCATGCAAGGCCACCTGGGTTGGCTGGAAGACTGTTTACTTAACCTAGCAGGGCAAAGGACGCTGTCTCAGCTGAACTCTGGACACACACACACATAGACATATATACACATGCAGATGTACACTCATCCCCCCTTCCCCTCCAAACACCTTCGACGCTTGTTCCCTTCCGATGCTGACGGTGGATCAAGGAGACCAGCGCACAGGCTGTAGGCCTGGATGCACTGTCTACACTGGCTGTCTCTCACCCTTTACCCACCCCTGTTAGTTGTCATGTGTTTCTTTGGTGTATTAAGAGTTTTTTTTCATGTGCTATGTGCAGAGGTGTTTTCTTCTGTTCTCAAACTGATCTCCCGGTTGGAGCTCAGTCTGGGGGGAGCTATTTTTTTCTCCTTATCTTTCCTCATGTTGTGCTTTTCCATGTTACACCCCTCTGACCTGTCTTCCCCATGTGATGTTTGTGTAATGTATGTATGGTCGGAGGGTAAGATGGCGCTGGCACGGCTGGCAGCCTTAACCCAATTTCCCTCGGGATGAATAAAGTATGATCAATCAATCAATCAATCAATCAATGAGCCCTGTCACAGTTGCAAATACATTAGTTGGGGTTAGAGGGGTTTGGGTTAATTCAGATAAATAATAAACAGACTGAGTGGAAGTCACTCACAGGAGCTCCTTTAGGCCCTGGAGGCCCAGGCGCCCCGTCCAGACCGGGCAGACCAGGTGGTCCAGGGAAACCAGTGTCACCCTTCTCTCCACTCAAACCATTAACTCTGATGGGATCACCTGGATCTCCCTTCTCTCCATTTAGGCCGGGAGGACCTTGAGCACCAGGAGGACCCTGGAAAGGAAACAAGCAAGATGTCTTGATGCTCGATCATTCAGGTAAGGAAATCCCCCAAAATTGATTCAGTTTACCCAGACGTAGCCTTTGCAGTCGGAAAAACGTAAAACTCTACGTCCAGGTGAACAGAATCAATTTTTTGGGAAAGAAGCAAGAGCCAGGGAAGTCAAACAGAGAAATTAAATCAAAGAATACCAAAGAAATAATGGCGTTTATTATTTTTCTGATGAAAAAAAATCGTGAGCAACACATTAATTATATCAGTTCCACAATGATAATCACCACTTTTGGAAAGGAAAAGTAAGAATACTCACGCTGGGGCCGACAGAGCCAGGTGTTCCTGGAAAACCTCTGTCTCCCTTGAAACCTTGGATGCCAGGAGGTCCTGATGAAGAAAACAAGAGGGACCATAAAAACATCTGTCCTGAGGTCTACTAAACTTCAGTGTCTTTATTGTCACATTTAATGTCATTACTGAAGGATCACCAAGCAATTTTAATCTGCTACTGTGGATTCAGGAAAGTTTGTTAATATCACCTGACGGAAACAAAACTTTGGGGGAGGGGTCTTACCAGGAAATCCAGGAGGTCCTGGAGGTCCTTGAGGTCCAGGGATGGGATTGACGCTTCCTAGGCAGTTCACACAGGTGTCACCTTTCTCACCTAAAAACACGATCAGATCATTAATGTCACTTTTTTCTGCAAAAGGCTGCAGGGGGAGACCGTCTTATGCACTTTTTTGGGAGATTGGGTGATATTTCAGCAATCTGACAGGAGTTATTTATTTTGATTCTATCTTAGACATTTCCCCACCTTTCTGTCCTATCTCTCCAGGGAAACCTCTTCCTCCTTGTGCACCAGGAACCCCAGGAAGTCCTGGTATGCAGTCTTGACCTGAGGAAGTGCCTGGAAGTCCACGGGGCCCTGGCGGACCAGGGGATCCAGGAGACCCTGCACGACCTGGGGGGCCTGGCAGAAAGTTTCCTGGAGGGCCAATCTCTCCCTTCTGACCTCGCTCTCCTGGGAAACCTTGAGGTCCAGGAAAACCCCCACTACCGGTTCCTGTGAATCCCGGTTCTCCTGGAGGGCCTGTCAAACCTGGAGAAAGGAGGTTGATGTTTCAGTGTTATTTGGTTTGTTTTTTTGCGAAAGATAATCAAAAAGTAAATCTCAAAAAATGGTCTTATTCAGCCAAAAGCAAAGAAGGGCCATTAACTAATTTACATAATTAATAATTGTATCCCTTTATTTCCTTTTCAGTAACCATAAATTATTCAATTTATCCCAACCTTTCCCCTAAATGTATTATTGTATTTTTAATCTGTTATTCTAGACCTACACCAGTGCATTTAGGTTGCACCATCTCATCTATCATGTCTGTTTTGGAACTTAAATTTGGTACCCGGTATAAACTAGCTTTAAAAGTAATGCAAACAATAAATATGCTTGTTATGTGCCTGTGTGTTTTCAGCTCACCTTGTACTCCTCTGTCTCCTTTGAGTCCAGGTGTTCCAGGTAAGCCAGGTTCACCTTTAGGCCCCACCTGATTCCCTATTGGCCCGCCAATCACCTGATGGGATGTTAAAAAGAATTAAGTAAATTCACAAGACTCACATGGACTAAACTATACAAAACTTTGCAAATATCCTTAAATCTTTTTTTGTAATATAATTTTTAAAATAAAAATATTTTAAAAACTACAACAGAATAAATATAAAATACAACAACAGACTATTGGACCTAAATCAAAGACTATGATAAATATTACCTCCTTATGGAAACTTTCCTCTTTTTAAAACACTTCCTTATTTTAAGCTGTGTTTTTAAAAATGTAAAAAAAAGTCTCATAATTACAGTTTTCTCACGGTTAGCAGGACTAGTGGACTTTGTACACTGAATAGTCATCCTTAATGGTTCATTTTCCATTGGGAGTGGGTAATTCGTATCACACACACACAGTTTAAATGTTTTCCGTATTGCACAGTTGAAAATAGAGTTTCTTTTTGCCGGTAATTAAAAAAAAACAGTGGCTGAAAGCACTGTAAACAACAGTAGACTGGTGCATAACAAGCAAGCAAATAATGCAGAAAATAGAGATTTGAGACCGTTTTGACCGATCGGCCCGATTTTGGCCTTCATCGTGTGTCGTGCATCGTGTAGTATACGTGGGGTAACGAGAAGCGATTAACACCTCACGACCAGCTTCCGATCATCAATCGCTTGGTCGTGAGGATTTCAAACAGCGACCGTCGTGAGGGTGTCACCGCAGTTTCTCACACTGCACACGCGCAAACACAAATGTCAGAGAAAAGGACGGCGCAGCACGGCTGTGCAGCGTGTGATCTGGACACAAGCGATGGAGGCACAACTTGTAGAACTTTGGAAAGCTCATCCGAGCCTTTTCCATGTGGCCTCACAAAATTATCACGACCACAACAACCGTGAAAATAGTTGGAACTACACTGCTGCTCAATCACAGCTGCCTGATCAATGTTTTTCATTAGCAATTTAGCAAAGTTGATGGTGGTGGTGTGTAGGGATGGGTACCGGTGTCCGGTGCCATGATGGCACCGGTTCTGACATAAACGGTAGTAACCAGACCGAAAAGCAGCGCACATTTCGGTGCTTTATTTCGGTGCTTTTTTTCCTGAGCTGTGATACACTTCTAGCCAATCATTTTACGTTTACAAGCATAGTAGGCGGGGCCAGGTACGTACGTTCTTTTATAACAGAGCTACAGATTAAAAATGTCCAAGGCGAAGCGGTCAAAAGTCTGGCTGTACTTCATAGCAAAAGATGCAAACTCAGCAGCAACAAGTGCTTTAAGCTGATACTGTGATACTGTCAAAGGAGGTAACACCTCAAATCCGATGAAACACCTGGCGACGCATAGCGTTTTTTTTAAAAGCCGAGAAATGCGCCGTATTTGATAGCTTGCTGCGAGACCTCACACCGAGCACATCTACTGCGGGTGGGTTGCCTGTTATGCAACATCCCCCAAAAACACGAAGAGGAGAGTCCTGGCCCCTAGCCCTGCCAGTGTAGCAGAAATGATGACGGATGATGGTGGCAGCAGCAGCCGTTCTTCTCTGCGTGAGTAGCTAATTTACGTTGAGTAGGCTAACCACGTTATTACATTAATGCATGTAAGGTGAACTAGCAAACATCATCATAGCTACATGCGGCTGTCCTCTTGTTTGATGGCAGATACTCCCTTCACCCTGGCTAAAAAGGCTAAAATGACCAAAGAAAAAGTGGAAAACAGTTAAACATGAGAGGTTTAGGACAAAGTTTGTGTTTTTTCCATTGTTTAAGCACTGCTTCCAGCCAAGAGTGATACCATATATGCCCCATAGCTGCAGAAAAGGCTAACATTGTTATCTTTTTACAAAAAACAGCTGAACATGAGAGGTTTTTGGACCAATTTTGTGTTCTCCATTCTTTAAGCACCGGTTTGAGCACCGTTTGAGCACCGGCACCGTTTCAAAAGTACCGATTTGGCACCGGTATCGGATAAAACCTAAACGATACCCATCCCTAGTGGTGTGTCTGTGTGAGTGAAAGACAGAGAGGGAGAGCGAGCGACAGATTTTCTGTTCTAACCTTCATGTTATGGACGCACAGTGTGAGCACTCAGCTCGCATCAGAGCATCGGGCCGTATAGTGTGAGACCCTGCATCGTGACCTACGAACTTTTAACCCCTGCGAGTCAATCGTGCAGTTTGAGCAGGAGCTGAATCGCGCGACTGACAAAATCGCACAGTGTGAGCCCGGCATAAGAGGGAATTCATGACGATGTTTATCAAATGTGAAGCTTATTTTTGATCTTCTTTTGCTGCTGGCTCAGTTAATTTGGAGAGTGACAAAACCTGCAGCATCAGAATCTGTGAGATGTCGGCTTTCAGCTCCGACGGCGTGTCATTGGGTGAGAAAGCCAACATCTCACTGATTCTGATGCGTCGGGTCCGCGCTTTGTGTTTACGTCTTTGTGGAATCCGTTTACCTGCTCTCATTTACTGTTTTAGCTGTTTGGTGGTTGTTGAAATGAAAGCTTTAACCTGAGATTCTTAAGTTTCTGGCAAAATACATTTATATTTAAAAATCAATTCAGGATCAACCTAAAATCGATTTTAATTGGAAAATCGATAATTAAACCCCAGCCTTACTGTATAGTGACCATCAAGTATAGGTTGCCATGGAAATATTAAGCTGTCTGCATGTAATTCACTGTGAGTTTTTTTTCTGCCACACGCTGCGAATGCATCACTAACCCCGGAGATTCAGACTCGTCAGACCATTGCCCAAAAGGTGGCAGTGCTACGAATTTATTCCACCAGCTGAAAAGTCATCACTGCAAAATTAAGACCATCTTAAACTCCACATGCAAATGTCTCCTAACACACCAAAGAAAACTTCAAATAAACCAGCTGTGATACGAGCTACCAGCTATCAGCAAGACGAACAGAGAAAAACGGCACGATTCCATGTTATTGTTTATCGAACGTGAAACACATTTTCGGTCCTCTTTTGAATTTTGGTCGTGGTTTGGTTACATCAAGCTGAGTGACCTCATGGATTCTTGTTTGTGTTTAGGCACATTTTGTGAAATTATATAACTGCTCTTTTAATTGTTTTGTCGTTTTCATTGTGTTTAGTGGTTGTAGAGATGGTTTATATGAACTTCAGGTGAAATTCAGAGGTCTCATCCCTTTTGCCCCCAATACTGGGAGCGTTGGGGCTCAAGACATATCATGTATAGTGATACAGCCAAAAAATATTGTGATATTAGATTTTTCCTCATATCGTCCATCCTATTTTCCATTCCACTCCTGTGTCCTGTGATCATGCGTTTGGGTCCTTATCTTGCCTGCCACGCAGCCGACTCTGACAGCTATGCTTTTACTGCACTGACAGTGTGCTTGGGCTCACTAACAATGAATCAGTGGATCAAAGTCTGGTGGCACTTTTCAAAATGAACTACAAATAAGTGAATAAGCCTCAAATGTCCAAGGAAAAATGGTTAATTTCTTTATATTTTTGAAGCAAACTACAAAGAAATGAAGAATGGCTTGGGATATTTGCACAGCATTGTATTTATAAGTAGACAATGAAATGGTGCTAAGAGTTCAAGTGTAAGACAAATATTCCACAAATAATGAAATATAAATTCTCATTCACCTGCCCTGGTGGACCTGGGAATCCACGATCACCTTTTTGTCCCTGAAATGAGAAAGAGTGATATTTACACAGTTCGTGGCATTACTGTTTGACTCGTAGAATTCAAAATACTCAGAAGAAACTTACTGTCTCACCATCCCTCCCTGGAAGACCAGGCTGGCCTGTCTCTCCAGGGGGCCCCTGAATGTGACAAAAAGCAATACAAGAATGTTAGGAAAAGGTTATAAGACATTTTAGAAAAGGATTATAAATTGTGCAGTTTGTCGGCAGAACTCACTGGGTATCCTGGAGAACCAGGATCACCATCTTTGCCTGGTTTTCCCTGTAAAAGGGGGGAAAAACATGGTGATCAGGCTTTGCACCAACGGGGACATCTCCAGAGTTGAATACTGAAGCATTACAAAATTGGCAAAAACTGCACATCCTCCAGTGGCCACTAGGGGCTGACTCCCAAAGGGAGTCAAAAATTCTAAGATTGGCTCCCTTCTTAAAATGTCCAGTTTTACAATAATAAAAATTACATTCATACCTCTGTTAAGTATAAATATTTAACTCATTCACTTGAGTTAGGCCTGTGGTCAGGTTGACATCCCAACACATGCAACTGGAGTCAATAGGTGTCTGCAAGGTCTTGTTCATCATTTTAAAACGTTACACCGGACTTCATGACTGTGTGCACAGTAGAATAATGTGTATGCGTATTCACATCTATGAAGAGCTGTTTGAAGGTTTACCCGGAGTTTTGGGCTTATTGATAAGGTTTCAGTATGTCTTTAAAAGGCTTGGAGAACATATTCTACGAATACATACTGAACATACAATCTGGTAACAGTCAAATGAACCCTGCGTCATAGATCCCCTTTGGTCTCTTCTTACTGCTTCAACCCAGGAATTCAAGCTCTGCTGTGTCTTAGCAGTCTTGAAGGAATGACATGTACAAACTGAAATAATGGCAAATATGTTTGAGAGTTCCCTCTTTGCAGAAAGTTTCACACAAAAAAGCTGAGAGAAACCCTGTAAAATAGTCAGATTGTTTGAGAAAGTTGGGCAACACCTTTCCTCTTTGCCTAAACCAAATGTCAGAGATGAGGTTTCAGACACTCTTGCACTTGTACACATGTTGAGGGCTTTAGAATTGAGTTTACCTTTGAGCAACAGACATATTTTAGCAACACAGGGGCGATTACGTAAGTTTAGTGAAAGGATTTGCTTGAAATTCCAGAGCTGTACTTACTCGTTTTCCCAGCTCTCCTGGTTCTCCCTTTTCTCCTTTCTGCCCACCATAGGGACCCTACAGTGAGATAAAGAGACATATAAACACCACAGTCACCATCAAGAGCACTAGATACTCCACTTCTTCCAACTTGCAACTTAAATGTTTTGTCTGTTTTCTGGAGGGACTTTTAATGTGTGGAGGTAAATTTGGTTCAGGGGACCAGAGATACTTACAGGAGGTCCCGGTAAACCCGGATCACCTTTAGGGCCAGGAGGTCCTTGGTCACCCTGCAGAATAAAGAGAAAAAATCAGAATCAGTGCAGAACGAGTTTAGAGTTTGAACCAAATCTATTTGGCAAGTCAATTAGTCTACGTTCACACTGCAGGTCTTAATGCTCAATTCAGATTTTTTGATCAAATCCGATTTTTTTGTCTGCTTGTTCACACTTCAACTAAAATGTGACAGCAAACGTGCTCCTGTGTGAACACTCAAAGCGGCCCGCATGCGCAAAAGCAGACGTCACACACAAAGCGCTCTTCTCAGACCCAGATCAAACAGTACTGTTTGACTGATGGCCCTTAATATAAATACTTGTTTCGGACTTTACGTTTCCCAATTTTGCTTTAAGTTATAAAGTTATTTTCTTATTTACATTTGGCCTAATAATGATCCTTATTGCTGTTTTAGAGGAGCGGTGCTTCAAAGGATAGTTGCAGATTTCTGTCAGAATCTGCAGATTATACAGTATAAATAAAATGTTCACGTTTCTCCATCGTTGTCTTCCCAACAGTTTCTTATCGGGCGCTTCTCCAAAGCTGATAATTGGCGTTTGTCTTGTGTCAGTGACGTAAAAGCCGGATTTAATGCGACATGACCGTTCAAACAGCAGTCGCTTTCTAAAACATCGGATATGTATCGGATTCAGTACCACATACGAATGTGACCCAGATCGGATTTGAAAATATCGGATTTGTGCCGTTCACACTGTCATACCATGATATGTGTCGAATAGGGTCAAAAAAGTCGGATTTGATGCGCTTTCGCCTGCAGTGTGAACGTAGCCTTAGTCCCTCTCCTCTTTAGTCTGGAGGCTGTGCTTCAGTCCAATTTAAATGAGCTTTGACTTAAAGAAGATGTCAGTGTTTGTGGATAGTGTTAAATGTGGTTGCTTCTTTTTCTTTTTTACACAGTAGACCTTCAACCTGCATTTGCAGCTGGCAAATTGAAATGTGTTCACAGATAGTGATTTCTGCGAGTGTTTCTGTGTTTTTCAGCCTTGACTTTTGCACACAGAGATTTCTCCAGATTCTCTGAATCATTTTAATATTATGTACGGTAGATAATGAGATATTCAAAGCTTTATTCTGAAATAAGCCCACCAGATGTAGTTTCAGATGTATTTTTTTGCATATAAACCCGCCCATCTGTCTGTCTAAGAGGCTCTTTTTATACCACATCATTTTACTGACCTCTTGTCAATCAGTGAGTCCAGTTAGTAGCAAAATGTTACTCTGTAAGCTGTTGCTTTTTAATGCCACTTACTTTTCCAGCCTTTTGTTTCCCCTTCCCATAGTTTTTGCAATGAGTTGCTTCCATCAAATTCAAAATGAACTAATAATTTGTGTCATAATAATGTCTCAGTTTAAACATCTGGTACGTTGTTTACGCAATTTATTTACATTTTACACAATGTCCGCCTGGTGGTTTTTATTTCTTTACTGAATGAGATGACTAAATATGATTGGCAGGCATAGATACTCTCTGCTGCCATCATGTGGCTGTGATTTATTACTCTGGCGTAAACTGGTTTTTATATATATATTCACACACATTTAATACATTTTTATGAGCAATGATTAGGTACTGCCAAGATGAGGCATTTTGATACAATGTAAAATACATGCATTATGGAAAATATGAATGACCTTTTTCATATATATGGAAAATCTGTTAATAAAGCGAGTGACTGCCACCTGTCAGCAAGAGATACTGAGTTTTAAACTTGGTTTAAACAGCCTACGTTGTAAAATCTCTCTATTTAAAATCTAATTTTAGTCTCGTCAGTCCTCATTTCTGTGGCGAATGGAATACTTCACCACTTTCATGCCTTTAAAATAGTTATACCTTGTCTCCTCTCTGAATTTCAGTCTCAGCCGGCTTTGTCTGCTCCCCAACCTGTCCTGGAGGACCAGGAGGTCCTTGCAAACCTGGTGCACCCTATGGTCACGGCAGGGAAAGAGTGGCAGGTTTAGTAATTCAGTAAAAGCTCTGAGAAGACAAGCTTGAGGCAGAGACTGAACATAACTCTAGTAAAAAAAAGTGACGATTATGGTACCTTTTCTCCTTTGGGTCCTTGGAAATTCAAACCCATATTCCCCTGTTGAGAAAAAACAGAGGGAGGCTGTCACTTCAGGCTCAGTGGAGTATATTTCATGACCAAGAATAGTTCAAACTGTATTATCATTTTGTCTTTATTTACTAAAGATCAGTTACAAAGTGTCTGATCTCACCTTAGGCCCGGGTGGACCAGGAGCACCTGGACGACCCTGAGAAACAAACCGAGAAACAGTTGGCCTTCAATCTGATGCTATTTGTGCAACTTTCATGAAAAAAGGTTTACGCTGTAGCAGCTTCTCTTTACCTCAAGGCCTCTGGGTCCTGGGGGACCTACCGGACCTTGTATACCTGGAGGTCCAGGTCGGCCCTGTGACATAAAAGGAAAAAGATGTACAGACAATTGGTAAAACATACAGTTTAAAAAACCTAAACATTTTCATCCTTTTGCTTCTGTTTGAGTCTGTGAGCATTTCTGTGAGTGTGTGAGAAATTACAGTCCTAGCTCTAAAAATGCTTCCATAAGCACCAACAAATAATGTCAGTAATTATAAATACAGCAGACACCTTGATATGTGATGGCTTTATGTTTATAATATCAGTATTGGTCATATTTCAGCTTATAAATGATCAAAATTAAACAGATTTTCATTTGTCGCATTATTAAACAGACCGGTTTGACACCTAAAGCTCAAGTTCTGTTCATTCATTCATTTTGTTTTGTTTTTTATACACACATCATTCTGACTTACGTATTTGAAAAGTTTTGAATCTGCACGTGAATTTAATTAAATGTGTAAATTAGCTTTGGCAGCACAGTGTTTCTAAAAGGAGAATATTTCACTCACAGGACCTCCTGGCAAACCGGGTAAACCCACTGCTCCTTTCTCTCCGAAACGATTGGCGGAGATAACATCACCTGGGTCTCCCTGCAAAGAAAAGAGAAAGAGATGCTCAAATGTACATTTGTCTTCATAAAGGGAAAGAACCTGAGGGGAAAAAAGGAAATGTTGCTTCTGAATATCAAACAATGTCAAAGAGCACCATCTAGTGGACAAATACAGCAAAAACTCAACTTGACATCAGTAAAAAAAAAAGTTTAAAAAAAATGATAGAAATTGATTTTTATAGAAACCTAAATGAGAGGCAGTAGTAGAGCTTTCACATCTGTGTGTTTCACAGCAAACACTGACAAATAAATTAGCGAAACTCTTATTTGTTTGTTGTTGTGTTGTGTTTTTTGTTTACATGAATAAATAAAAAAATAGTGATTTTTTTAAAAATTATTTTCCATGGTTTCATTTTCAAAACAGAACTTTTTAAAAAAATGTGTAATGTTTATTTATTTGTAATTGGCTTCCTGGTCCTTTCCTTAGAAGCCCCGTCTTTGGCCTTTTAAACCTGGACGTGGTTTTAAACCTGGACGTGTGGTTTGTAAAACCACACATCCACACATGTATTTTTCTACATTTCCCCAGTTGTGAAGGGAATTTATATTTACTCCATTAAGTAAGAGTTAAATTAAGGTCTACCAGCCATAACAAGTTCAAAGCACAGTCAAGTCAACATTTCAAATTAGAGTCTGAGTTGTGTGGTGCTTGTAAAGCTGTGGATATATCAGCCTACAGTGAGATAGAAATCTGTATATTAGTGCAGAAATTGCTGACATATCATGTTTTTAATTCAGAACAATGAATGACAAGAATAACAAAGAAGTAGATTTAAAAGGATCTAAGATCTAAAATGATTATTTTACCTAAATGCAACAATTATTTTCATTGATTGTCATACAAATTATATTATAAATATAAGACAATAGGAAAGTAAGTGACAATCTGGTCTTCTTTTGTTTCTAGCTGGTGGAGGACATAACTTAAAAAATTGAATTCAAACCTTGAAAATTAAGTTATATTTTTTTAATCAATTTTTAACATTAAGAGCATTAGTAACAAAGTCACAAAATGTGTGTGTGCTGATTTTTACCTTTTGTCCTGGCAGACCAGGTGGACCCTGTAAATGAGTAAAATAGAAAAGTTTGTATAAACAAAGCAAAACCAGACAGCAGGGACAGCTCAGTAGGGGCGGGGATAGCTCAGTAGGGGCAGGGATAGCTCAGTAGGTAGAGTGGTGGCCCCATGATCAGAAGGTCGGGGGTTCGACTCCACTGAACGGCTACCCTGAGGTACCCCTGAGCAAGGTACCGTCCCTACACACTGCTCCCCGGGCGCTGCACTGGCGGCTGCCCACTGCTTCACTGGGTGAATGGGTTAAATGCAGAGGAACTATTTCCCTATGGGGACTAACACGCACACTTTACAGATCACTGTGATGCTTCATCGTGTAATGACTCACTTGAAGTCCTGGCTGCCCAGGGATTCCTGGACTTCCTGGGAAACCCCTGTCACCCTAAAAAAGGAAAAAAAAATTGAAAGACAGATACGCTGAGTGTCAACATTCTTTTTTGGCTTTAAGAAATTTCTCTTCTACAACTTGCTTTATTGTTCATAGACATCTTTATTAGATACCTTTGTCCCATTGCAACCCGGCACTCCTCTTGGACCTGGAGGACCATCCTGCCCAGGTAGACCCTGATACACAGGAATTAAAACAGGAAGTTTAACCATAAATGCTGCATGATTTTAAGTTAGCTAGAATTATCTTAGCTCTTTAAATATCTCACTGGGAGTCCGGGTGTTCCTGGAAATCCTGGTGTTCCTGGAGGTCCCTGATAGAGAAGGGGGAAAAAAGAATGTGTCATTTAAAAGTTGAAATGTGAAAAAAAAGAATCCAGTGTTGAGTTTTTTCAGGACCTAGCTGACTGTTAAGGTACAATAAGGTAAAATGGGGGCACCTGCTGGCCAAAGTAGAGCATTACAACCCCAAATTATTCAGTGCTGAGAAAGCACTAAAAAGTCATCCTGTTTATTTAAACGGGGAAGAAAAAAACAGGTGAAATTTACCTACTTAAAAAAAATGTAACTACCTTTTATGTGTGTGTCTGTGTTTTTAAAAAAGCATAAACATCCATAAACTTCAATAAAAAAAAAATCAATAAAATTATGGAGCCATGTCTTATGTTTCTCAGTGTGGCAACGACTCAAAATCCCTATGAAGTCTTTAGGAAAAATGGGGGAATTACTTACTCTAATTCCTTTTGGACCACCTGGTCCTTGAGGTCCATCACTTCCCTGAGAGAAAGAACAAATAAACAAACAAGAAAGCATTAATGATGAGCCTGATCATCTTTGACTCTACACTGTGAGCAGCATCAAAGACCAGTAACAGCCAAGTAATGAATCTACAGTAGTATTACTGTAGAAGTAATGGAAAACTTATTCATGTCCTTTACTTAAGTAAATATCCAAACAGGACTACTGTGAAAAACTAAACGTATAAAAGCTAATGTTCTCATGAAAATGTGCTTAAAGTTAACCATCAGAACCAGATTATACGCTAAAATCGATTCAACACTGCTCAGGATTTGTGTAAAGCTTTAGAAGTAAAAGCACTCAAATCGAGCCTTTACGGGATTACCGCTGCGTGTGAGCAGCGTCGGCGACTGAAGGTTCTTATCTACGTCTGATATTATCTTACCTAGCAACCACCTAACAAAAGCCTAAAACTACCTATTTGTAGTGTTTATGGACCTGCAACACCTGAATGCTTTGTGTTACTTCAAATTTACAGTAACATCATATTCATATTAACCAAGCTGAATTATACACAAGTATATTATAACATTATCACGTTACATGGCAACCACCTGGCAGTGGCAAGCCATTAGTTTAACACTTATGCATGTTAAAAAGCATTATATCACTTTCAACAGCGCAAAGACGCCGAAGTCTGTGGGATTTTCTGTTGTATTTGACGCTTTGACAAACAAAAATGTATCTTATACTTATCCAGGGGGATGTGCAGAAAACCTTTTGACTGCAGGAAACATGCTTAATGCAGGAAAACATCATCTATACATGTAATGACATAACTACCTAAATATTTAGCATTATTGTCCTAATTATTTAGTCAGTTTGTTGACCGACAGTAGCTTATAAAAAAATCATAAAAGTTACCCAGAGCCTTATGTTGGGGTTCTTGTATATGCATTGCCGCCATCCAAAGTCAGAAAATAACCCACGTCTCAAAAATTGATATATTCAGAGTTTCAATTCAAATCAGTTCCTTTTCTCTTCTCGTCTCCTTGCCCTACAAACCCACCTTCTCTCCTCTGGGCCCAATTGGTCCTTCTGGTCCAGGGAATCCTGGGACGCCTGGCTGTCCTGTCAAACCTGGGAAACCCCTTTCACCCTGCAAGCAATGACACAGTCAAACAATCATTTGTTTCATATTTAAAGACCAGATAAGTTTCAGATTTAAATTCAGTCTGGTCATAATAGAAAGGCAGAGTTATTTATAGCCTGTAGCTAGGGCTGCACGATTAATCGTTAGAAAATCGCGATCTCGATTCATACTTATGTGCGATCTCATTTCCAAATGACAACGATTTAAAAAAAAAAAAAGACGACGATTGTACCGCATTTTGATTCGGGAAGTACTCTGCATGAAAACAAGCGCTCACTCTTCCTGCTCAACAAATGACAAGGGCGGAGCCTTATACCACGTGATACAGAAGCTGTGCCGTGTGATGCTAAAATTAGCAGGGAAAACACAACGGAGAGCACCTCAGGGATGACGAGAAAGTGACAGGAGAAAGTCCGTCCCGGTCAACCACCCAAACATCAATAACGGGAACCTTATACAGCGCTTCCCTATACCCGTCGAACTCCCGCAGGCACAAAGAAATTACGGAGGCTATCACTTATCACCTGACCAAAGATATGGCTCCCATCAACACTGTGCAAAACGAGGGATTTAGGAAAATGATCAACACCCTAGACAAACGCTACACAGTGCCGTCCCGCAACTATTTTTCTATTGTTGCACTACCTGCTCTATACACGCAGCGTCGAGTAACGGTGGAGACGGAATTTCAAGCAGTACAACATTTTACAGCAACGACAAAACGTGAGACATTTGTTGTTTTTATGTTTATTTATTGTTTTTATGTTCAGTCTCAACTGTTACGAAGTTGATGTGCAGTTAATAAGTGCAATAAATATTTATACTGGAAAAGAAAATCGTGAGAGAATCGTGATCTCAATTCTAAGCAAAAAAATTGTGATTCTCATTTTATGCAAAATCGTGCAGCCCTACCTGTAGCACATTAAACAACAGATGGTTTAGAGAGATGCATATTTACATTACACGTCTCCAAAAACCACAAAATGCATCAAAATCTGAAAGGTGTGTTTTGTTGTATTAACTAATTATTATGGACCCAGTGATGTAGTGGTCATTAAAATGTGTTTGATTTAGTTAAATGAATGATTATTCATCTAATAAATCATGACACTGCTCTCCCCTCTACATAAGCTTCCTTTATGCGTTAAAAGTATCTGTATTAGAATCTGCAATACAAGCCTGTGTTTACTTGGTTTTGGATCCATACCAAAATCTGCAGTATTGGACTATTATTCATAGAAATGAGAGGAGATTAAAATGTACTGAGAAAGATTGAAAACATATTTCACAACATGAAATCTGCTGTCTTGAGTTCTTGAATGCTTTCTCTTGATTACTGAGGAGTCTTTGCACTTTGAGGTGACAGTTGTTGTAATTTGGCTCTATGTGAATAAAACTGAACTGAGTTGAATTAAACGTGTGAGTGTGTTCTCCAACAGCCGAGGTGTTTCTGCGTAAATGAGGTGAAAACTTTGCCCGTCTTGGTATCTTGTCAAACATCAGCTCCTCCCGTCATCCAGCTCGTACAATCACAGGCAACAAAACACGGTGAAAGCCGGAAATAGAGCCAGGCTGCCTTTTAAAATATGTGTGAGCTTCAACAGCAAAATGTAAGATCCACAGAAACAAAATTCAAAAAAATCACAATTCATATTTCTGCTACTTTACTACATCTCTGTGTGTTATGATTCTGTGACATTATTTATTATTTAAAGACCCGTGTCCGTTATTTTGGCAACAGTGTTTCAGCCTGTGATAAGTCTGACTCAACTTAAATGCAGACTTCACTGTAAGACCGGCACTTGTCTGGTTATAGAGTAATAACAAAAAGAAGAAGATTTCATTAGTCATCCCAAGAAAAACTGTTCCCTGTGTGCGTGTTTTTTTTAAATATGTGTTGCTTTTAATTACGTGTAAGAAATCTATGAGAAATCGGGCCTTTGCTCCCTAACTCTGTGCCCTCAGTCGCAAGTTTCAGGTCAAAGTGAATATGTTCATTAATTGGACGGGAGTATTCAGGGTACACCCACTGGCTGTGGTGTCCAGAGATGGGCATTAACGTGTTACTTGTAACGCATTACTGTAATCTGATTACTTTTTTCAAGTAACGAGTAAAGTAAGGGATTACTATTGCAAAAACGGTAATTAGATTACCGTTACTTTCCCGTAGGAACGCTGCGTTACTGCGTTACTAAAACCGTGATTTTTTTGCGAGAATGTCTCACGATAGTGACGTAAGCGAGTGCGCCGTTAGTGACAACAGCTGTGTGCAGATCAACAATGGATCACATATCGATTGTGAGAGAGTATGAGCGTGCAGCGTTTAAAGCGTGGAAGTACTGACCTTACTTTGAGTTTGATTCCATAAAAGTGACAAAAACATTAGCGTCCATCGTGCGTGGGAAGAAAACTTCTTTTTACAGCGAAAAAAAATCCTAAACTTCCAAGCAAGCACCGAGTGCGCAACGACGTAATGAGAAATTCACAGAGAAACTCGCGGATTCTTCCACTGACCGCGGCACACCTGCACCAGGGTGAACCTGCGCCTGCCGTACTCCTGCTTTACAGGTGAAAATAGAGCAACAGGACCCCTGAGTCTTTGACTTTATTTATTTTCTGCTGTGTTTTACTTGCATCTATTTGAAAGAGTGAGTGTGAACACAAAAAATATTTTATTTTATGTGCTGGAATGTGCAGAAAATAGGTTTAAATGTTAAACAAATTACTTCCAGTCAGAGAATGTTGCATATAATTACATTTTTGCTTGATGCATAAAGTTAAAAGATTAAAACTGATAAAACAAGTTAAAAAAGAGACTTTTCCATTTGATTACATTTTGTATGATGGATTATGTAGAAAAAGTAGAATTGGGCTGAAAGATCTATCGCTTTATCACCTCTTCAGGTTGTAAATCGTGTTTTTAAAAAGTAACTAAGTAATTAATTACTTTTGAAAATAAGTAATCAGTAAAGTAACGGGATTACTTTTTGGGGGAAGTAATCAGTAATTAGTTACTGATTACTTTTTTCAAGTAACTTGACCAACACTGGTGGTGTCCTCACATTCTCAACACGGTGGTTACTAGTAACACCCCACGTGTGATTGTGTGACACTGTGTTTACCTTTTCTCCTTTCACTCCACTGCAGTCACATTTGGATCCTGCACATCCATGGCAAGCCTGTTTAAAAAAACAAAACAAGAGAAAGACAAATGAGCGTCTTTGGACTTTTACTTAACCAAAAAAAAATCAGCGACATTTCCAACGATGAATAAAACTAGCAATTACATTCCAGTGTTCTGAAAATAGAGGCTCTAAAGTCACTTTTTCCAATTCCATAACAAGCGAAAGATTCCCAGGAACAGACACAAATACTTTAGAGGTTGCATCAGGAAGGGCATCCAGTGTAAGAGTCCACCAAATCAAACGTGTGGAGGAAGCAGGTAAAAGCTAGAAAGCAGCTTTCTGGGTTCTGAAAATGTGTCTGCCACGTCTCCTTTTTGTCCTAATTTCCTGCCAAATCTGCAGCCTCAGCCATGTAAAATCAGTCAAACTCCTTTCCAGAATTGTAAAACCAAACAGTAAATTTAGTAAACTTCAGCAAGTGCTTCAGCATGCCACCGGGGGGCGCTGCATAATTACACTTTGCACATTACAGCACATGTCTTCCCACAGAGGAACAGCAAGGTCAGCGGATTCACCTGCAGGTTTGTTTGCTGATGAGATCGCAGCTGCAAGGTCGGCGAGGCCAAACAGTACTCTAAACTCAAATCAAATAAAGCTTTTATCTCACAGAGAGCACGTTTATCTTCCAAAATATCTCACTTCTTCCCATCCGTTAGACTTTGGATTCACTTTTTGTGAAGGACTAAAGACTGAGAGAGTTAAGAAAAACTAGGAGGGAGGGAGGGATGTATGCATGGGTGGATGGGTGGAGTGGGAGTGCCAAGCTCCTGATTAACTTTTCCCATGCCTGTTGACACAGTGAATGCCAGACGGGCATCAACTGCACGCATGCCAGGCAGCCAGGCTGTGAGAAAGATGGAGAGGCAGAGAGCGCACGAGAGAGGACAGACGGGCGGACATTCTTCTGTGTCTGCAAAAACGTTTTCGTGTCCGTCTTTGAGCTGACGCTTTTCACAGTGTTCTCGTTTTACTGACACGGAGGGGACGCAGCAAACTCTGAGTGCATTTCCTGGTTCATCAGTTTATCATTAAGTCTAAGAAATCGGAAAGATTCTGGAATAAAAGGCAGTAAACATGCAAAATTGTCTTATTGTTATTGTTCTTAATTTAAACCTTCTTATTTGAATTTCTTCCCTGTAGGTTTTAGTCTTTGCAAGGAACTGAAGTAATGTCTTAAAAATGCACTGACATTTTGACTCATGTTAGCTGTTTAATAATGCAGATTTTGTGTAATTGTAAACTGATTTCATTCCTGTGATTTAGATTGTTGGCTTAAGAAAAACAGGCAATATGAGGTTGTGATATTTGTAACATTTTTTACTTTAAACTGATAAGGATCAGCTAATGTGTTGCCAACAGGGAAGTCACAGAATGCTATGCAACCCATATTATACTTGGTAGCTTGTTTAATTATCATTTACTGGCCATTACAAATTCAGATACCAAAAGGTTGACAAATAACTAATGCTGGGCGATAATATCGGCCCTGCCAATATATCGATCTGGCTGCAGTGCGATTGCACGGTCTTCCAAAGAGTATCGTGGGCCATGATGATCAGAAAAGCATCTGCCAATATGTGCAATCAAATACAACTGGAAATACAATATTCTAAGATCAAGTACCCACAATTAAGCCAACGTGGAACTGCAGCTCCTCTAATATCCACTCCATATGCGAGTGACTCCTCATAGACTCCAATAAAAACTAAACAGGTTTGATTTTTCTTTTTTTGAACAACTCTTTGATTTATTTTTGTTAAGACTAAAAAACAAGTCTGTTACTGACCCTTTCCCCCCTTTTTTAACTCGACCTTTTTCACTTCCACAAAGTGAAAGGGCCTGGGGTCAAAAATCAAGGCTATAAAATTGAATTTCACAATTAATCTTTGGCACATTAAACCTCACACAGTTTACCGTTTGCATTTCTGTGTACACATTTAAAACAGTGCATACATGTTTACATTACATTTGCCGCTTTCCAGTGTGTGTGTGTGTGTGTGTGTGTGTGTGTGTGTGTGTGTGTGTGTGTGTATAGATAATATTATAATAATAATCAATATAATATTGATTATATAAAAATCAAGACAGCCCTACTATCCTGAGCTGCATGAAGGCCAAAGCAAGGCATTTTGTCTTGCCTTCCTCCCCTCACCCTCAGACAGTGATGGCTGATGGCCGCCCTTCCCTGGTTCTGCTGGAGGTTTCTTCCTGATAAAAGGGAGTTTTTCTTTCCCACTGTCACCAAGTGCTTGCTTCTACGGGGTCATATGATTGTTGAGGCTTCTTTCTTATATTTTAGGGTCTTTACATTACAATATAAAGCACACTGAGCACACTACATAATTAACCATGTATCAAGATATCTGGGTATACTTCCACTACTCAGCCTTGTTGCTGTCTTTCCCAATGGTTGCTTCTAGTGTGCAACGAATGGACAGAAATTGCCTGCCACCAAAAATATTTTTCTTCTCATAGACCACCATTATACAAAAAAAACATTTACAAAACTGTCCAGCTAGGCTGCAAGGCTGCATATATATGTATATTTGCAAATAATAAAAACAAGCCTGGCAATCACTTGTGCAGTGATCCCTAAAAGAGTGGGCCACTTCCCCCAGCAGGGCTGTAAAAGTACAGCAGGTGGGTCAGGAGCAGTCATTTACAAAAATAAAAATGCTTTCATTTTAAATTTCATAATTACTTTTGAAATGATCATCTACCATTTATGATTCAGTATTTAACTAAAAACAATGTAAAACTAATTAATAAAAAGCTCTGATATTTATTTCTGATATTTATTTATCGCTCATTTGATCCAAAAAGTATCCAGTGACAAGATCAAAATGAATCAGAGAAAAGACAAAGAAAAGAAGTGCTTTAAATAAGTCTGGTGGGTTCATCAGAGTTTGGCACATAAAGTGTTCAATGTTCTTCAGAAAATGTTCAGATTTCAAATTTAACTGAAATGTTAATCCGGAAAAGGAAATTTGCCTTTCTCAGCGTAAAAGCTGTAAAGGTGGCCGAGATCTTCTTCTACATCCACGATCATGATGTTTGATTTCAAGTAACAGGTGTGTCCGAACACCGTCTGCCACTCTGCTGCCAGAAATCTTCACTTTATCACACAGAGGATGCCACTTATAAAGGTGTTTACTTTACAGCAAATGTGGCTAAAAACAAAGGGTGAACTAAGAAGAAACCAGGTGGCTTAAAAAAAATCGGACTAAACGCAGCGTTAAAAGATCCTTCTCCCTTTACATGCTGTTCACTCCCTCTCTCTTTGCCCCCACAGCACTGAGGGGGCGTGTAATCCACTTAGAAAGGTCAGTGAACTGCAGATATTTGCTCTAGTCTTTCTTTCTTTTAACTCTCTTTTAACCCAGCTTAATTTTTCCCCTCACGCCAACCAAGCAACCAGGCCTGAGCAGAGCTAAAGCTACTAGTGATCTCCACTGGAGGTCTGTATAGGACCAGAAAACTGCAGCGGTGCAGCTCCGACACTGAGAAGCAGGACTACCAGGAAACAGCACCAGACTGCAGTTAATGTAGCTCTTCCTAAAAGGAGACATAAAGGTCTATGAACAGTATTTACGACACATATTTTAACTGTGTTACGTATTCATAAATTCAGTATAAATGAAACAAATTGTGCTCTACTCTTTTGGAGCACTATGTGTGCTACTTTAATGCTTAAATTTGCCTATTTTCATGTGAATCTGCACATAAATGCACATAAAGTTCCCAAAAAGTAAAAAAGTGAGTTAAAGTAGGTCAAACGTATTTATTCAGCACCTTTCAAGATAAACAACACAACGATTCTAAAAGTACATTCACAGGTGTGTACAAAGTGATGGACACACGATCCAGGTGAGATTGGGTGAGTTGACAAGGAGAAAGAGGAGGAGGAGGAAGGAAGGCATGTACCCGAGGATTAGACTGGCGAGACTGGAATTCCCCCCGACACTCATAAAAGAGTGACGATTAGACACGTATAGACGCTGCCCTGCCATGAGCACACACATATGCGTTAATGTAGCAGACAAACAGACACAAACACTCATAGACAGCACGCACAGCTGCGCAGACAGAAAGAGAGCGCGTCCTCGTTTTGAACATCGTTAAATGACGGCTGTTTTCTTACACCGATCACGGCACAAAGCGTGTTCGCTCCGGTCCGCTGGAAAGACGTGGGTGTCTAATCTGGTTCAATCGTCGCCATCCGAGCTAAACCAACCATCAAGAGCAACTTACTGTCCGATTATTTTTGATTATCTTTCTTCTTGAAAATTGAACTTTGTAAAAAGTTAGCTTGAATAACGCAACTGCAGCAAAGCGACACAAGATGGTACCTCTTTTCTTTTTAAGAGAGCTGAGCTGATTTTTGACTGACATGATAGCCATTAACAATTTATGTTTGCACTTGAGGTGAACTGGACTCGGTGCAGTCGACTCTCGAATGACTGGCATCGCAACTCAGACGCAATCACCATATCAGAGCTGGTATAGGGGGTAAAAAGGGGGTCCGTCAGAAAATCTCATCTCCTAGTTGCTGCAGCTTCTTCCTCCCAGATAAGATCCATGCCATCCATGTATTGATGTGTCACTGAAATGGCAGTAAAGAAAGACCAGCTTATTCATGCCTGTGAAAACAATAAATGACATCCAAGTATCGGTGTCATTTACAGGCTTCTGTCGTTCAGGAGCTAAAGCAGGTCAACTACCAGTCAGAAGGTGTTTTGAGCCCTTGTTCTAACATTCTGCATGTGGAGCGAGATGCTGCACCCTATACAAGTGTGTGAAAGTTAGGTTAAAAGTGCTTGTGTGAATGGATGAATGAGACTCGTGGTAAGAAACCACATGTGCAGGCAGAAGCACAACAAGAGTGAAGTCAATCAATGAAAAATTGGAGCGGCCCTGATAAATGATCCTACAAGATGTCGTCATCTGATCATTTAAGTGTCTCATTCAATGGTTGTTGGAGACGCATGAATACA